TCCCCTTCCCCTTCCCCTTCCCCTTCCCCTTCCCCTTCCCCTTCCCCTTCCCTTTCCACACTTTCATTTCCTCCTTCGAAACCTCCTCCTCCCCCTTTTTGCATTTTCCGGCTGCTCCTTTTTGGTAGTTCCATCGAACTATAAAAACAACATTGTTGTTCGTTCGTTGCATGTTTGCCGGCCATTAATGAGCGCCGGTTGTCCAATGTCCTATTTTCGTGCCTCGTTTTGTTGTTATAGTGTGTTGATACCTTGGAGACGCTTCCGCTTTCCCCACTTCCGCCCACTGTCCTGTTTTTTATTACAAAGTACAGGGATCACTAAAAAAAATGAAAGAGAAATAGGTTTCCTTCCCTGATTCAGCAGAATACTGTTTTTTTTTAATTCAAGGGAACAACTTAAAGAATTTTTGTTCAAGTTAAACCAACTCGTCCCTGTGTTTGTTCCACTTGCGGAAGTTCTACTGTAGTGCTTTTCGGTGTCATTGCACGTTTGACATGCACAAAATGTCAACAAAGTTGACGATGATGGGCAAACACGCCCAGTTTCTTGCGAGTTCCAATTTCATTTGTTGGGATTTTGTACTCCATTCTATTTTCTTTTTTACCCTCTTCTGCTGAATTTCCCGATTTGGTGTTAGCCGAAAAAGCTTTCTGCTGTTTCTGCCTTCTGCTGGAGGTTCAGAAGTGGACTTTGGTCCTCGGGCCAACCCTTGTCGGCAAACTCGACTCCTCTATTTCCACACGATTTTCTTACCCTCAGTAAACCGAAAAAAGAAAGAGGCCGCCGGGCATTTAAAGTTTTTTTTTTTTTTTTTTTTTTTTGCCATTTGGCCGCCGACGAAATTCACGGAATTAATTCTGAAAGAAGTCCAAGCCAAAAGGCATTGTACCCTAAAGTCTCATGGGAAATGGTGAAAACGTGACTGAGTTGGCTAATGAAATACAAGAAATAGCTAATTAATTTAAATGTCACCCAAGCCAAATATACCATAATACTAAGGGGACTCATAACAAATGTGTTAATTAAAATAAGTGTCGTTATTTGTATGGAAGTGAAAACTAATTGAATGAATAGTATAATCAGCTGTTGTTTTTGTTAGGTAATTGTGAAGCATATAACATAATAACTTAAATAAAAGTAGAACACAAGTTAATTATGGTGCTTGCATTTTTGTAAAAGTATCTTAAATTCCTTAATAAAAGAGTAACCCACAAAATGAGAAATAAATTTATGCCCAAAATATATCCGTACTAAGTAGCTATTTTTGTTAGATCAATATTTTTTGAATGGCTAATAAAAGTGAGGCGGCCAACCTGTTGCTTAGGGTATAATTACCTGCGGCTAAGTGCAGGATGTGGCTTTCTTAGACCCAATACTCCAGTTGGCCCCTCCTTGGCTCCCTTTGTTTGCCTTTGGTCTGCCCCCCCTTCCACTCTGTCCACTGTCTCGCCGCCTCTCCACCTTCTTTCCGCCCCCGCCACGCCCCTTCCGCTCTCTGTGAGAGCTTTTCCCTCTGGCTAAAGGCGGTTTTGGTTCTGCCCTGGCTTCTTTGCTTCTACTTCAAGCAGGGAAAAGCGAACAGGCGCGGACAAAATAATAGAGACTATAAAGGAGATCCATTTTTAAATCGCTTTTAAAAAGTGTATCTTAAATAATTTGTACAACAATTACAGTTCTTTAGGAAACATCAACAATTTAATATGTGCATGTCTGCTATGAAAGCGTCTTTAGGTGTACAATATATATATATATATATATATATATAACTGGGTTATATATCTGCCCTCCCTTTTGTCCTTTTTCCTTTAGCCAGTGAGCGCGCAAAAAAGTATGCTACGGCATTTTGTTGTTTTGCAACCCCAAAAATAATGCAGAAAGGGGAAGTCCAACCGCCAAGCTGCTCCACCTCCCACTTCCTCCCACTCCCCACCCACAATTATGCAAAGCAGCGTGTGTGTGTGTGTGTGAGTGTGTGTTTTAGCCTGGCTGATGAGTCATCAGCAGCCATATCCTGGCACTTCTTGGCGCATTTTCCATACAGATTTCTATCGCTGAGGGGCCGACAGCCGAACTCACTGGCTGGCAAAGGCAGCGAAGGAAAACTGTAGCGCAAGTGGATGAGGAGAAGGAGGGGGAAGGGGAAGGGGGTGGTGGAAAAGCAAAGGGGTTATGGCGAAAAAGGGCGGCGGAGTTAAGCGAAGCCAAGTCAACCCTAAAACTATCAGTGCACTTTGGGGTTAAGTGGTGTCGGCGGGCTAGGAAAAGAAGTCAATTAAAGCAGCTTTTCCAGCAGCAGCTGCTTAGCAAAAAACTAAGTCAACAACAGATAGTATAAAATGAGGGAAAACATAAAGAAGCTATAAGCACCCTAAATAAGTGCATTTATAAATTCAAAAAAATATATATAAAGCACAAACCTTGTTTTTGTCTAATACTATTTTCTGTTTGCCATATTTTTATGTTTATTTTTTAGATTAAAAATAATAGTTCGTTAAATTGCACAATTTTTTAAATACTTTTTTCCCGTTTCTCCCAAACGTTTTGAAAAGTTATCATACCCCTAAAAATGTGATACCCTTCGTAAAAAAAAGTCATAAGAATAAATGTACAAATCGTTCAACTTGCAAATGGGCGAATTCCTGCCGAGGGGCGTGTCTGTGTGGGCGTTGAGGGGGGGGCGTGGTCGAGCAGCTGTTGTCTGGCTACTTAGTTGTTGTTCCTGTTGTTGTTGTTGTCTTTGGCAACCGTTTCAGGTGACCGCTTCGCTGGCAACGGTAGTAAAACGGTATAACGGTAAAAGTAGAGGAAAAAGGTAAACTTTCGATGGTGTCGAGCGATGGCGACAGACGTTGTGCTTTACCGCTCGACTGCCCATCCCATCTATCCTTGTATTCTGTTGTTCTCATTGTTTTTGTTGTTGTTGTTGCGTGGTATCCTGGTATTCCGGTATCCCTTGTAGCGTTGTATTCCTGGCACTTGGCCATTTGGCCGGCAAATTTATTGACCCGCCGAGCAGTTCAGTTTGTTTGGGTGCATAGTTTAAAGTTCGTCGAGGGTGCGATGGCCTAATGTGTCATTGGTAACTGCCTTTTTGGCTCACTCCTCAGCGGGGTGTCCTTCCCACCTTCGGTACACGTGGCCCACTCGATAGGGAAATCCTGTTATTCCTCCGTCTCATTGGTTGGCTTCTTGACCCCGGAAAATAGTATGAAAAGGGTTTGCCATTCACTTTTCATTGGCACAAATTAAGACGAGTTCTTCAACGGGAATTCGATTTAATTTAATTGCATTTCGATATGTACTTTTTGTATAAATACAAATACAAATACAAAAGTAATTAAATAAATAGAAAGCATTACGGAGCAGTATCGTTTTTAATTTGACTCTTAGACTGGTCAATTGAATAATTAATTGAAACACCGCCACCAATTAAAAGCAAACTTCATTATCTGCATACCGAGCAGCTCGGCTCCTCATGAAATCAGTTGAGTCGCCTCGACTGCAGTTCAACAAACCCGCCGATCCCCCCTCGCCGCTCCAAGTGCTCCAGAGTTCTCTTCACAGTTCAACTTACAACACTTAAAAACAATTCAAATGATTGACCTATCGCATGACCCGTCGTCAAGACCGAACCCAAAAAGATCCGATGAAAAAAAGCTGGGAAAAGGGGGATACTTTGGAAAATACTACTGCTCAAGTATGAAGTATGGCAAACACAAAAAAAAAAAAAAAAGGAAAAAAATAAATAAAAAAGAGGCTTAACAAGCTCAAGCAGCGCGGCTTGTTCATATAATTGACTCGAGCTTTCGAGTTAAATATATATACAAATATCTACAATTGCGCTTAAAATATAAGTAAAACTGTAGGGAACTAATATTGAATAGGAAGTGCAAGACTTTCAGTTAACATTGCTCTTTAATTTGTGGGAAATATTTTCCAAGTTTGATGACTAATTAATAAAGATGTGGGAAAAATTATAAAAATATTTCTAGAGAAATTAATTTGAGAAATGATAGTATTGTATGATTAATTATAATTTGACATTTTTTGCAATACTCTTCTGAATTTAATGTACAGATATATACAACGCTTATATGTACGAAAGTCTGGCATAGTTTCAGATAGTTACAAATAATAAACTGGCTGGCAGAAAAAAGGAAGCAAACATAAAAAACATAAGTAAACCAGCAGCAAAAAGTGGGCTCAGCTCGTTGACTTCCTTTGGCCACTTAATTGCAATTACTTGAGACATGAAACAAGCGAAAATCTGCCACCCCCTCAGTACACCCCCCAACCCCCCAATATCCCCAACCCCCCGCCTTCGCACACTTCAATCAACATTTTTCGCAATTGGAAATTGAGCAAGTTGTCATAATTTGTGCATAAAAAATGTCTTAATTTTCTTCTTTGCTCGCCGCCTCGAGAAACGTTGATTAAGCGAAATTAAATGTGGAAATTAACTTGTTAGAGAGTCTCGATCTTAATGGGTCGTATGCTGCCAGTGAGGAAATGCGGAAAACCGTCGACTGACTAATCAAAAAGGGGCTGGAAATGGGGCTTATGTTCAAATAAACAATTAAGGGGATTAGATAATTGCCCAGGCCAATGGTGAATGCGATGTGGCAATCGAGAGTATTCCAAATTAATTGAAAACTATCTGAAGAGTGGATACTGTTGAATGCAAGTATTTAAAATAAGAGTTCAATAAATTGAGTTACTATTTTTGTGGAGTTCCATGTGGCAGAAAACCAAATTGTTATAGCCTTAGTATTATATACTTTATTAAATAATATAATATATATGCTCTGAATAGAGCAAGCATTTCATTATTCATTATTATTCATTATCATCATCATATTATTCATTATTTAGTTTGCTTTAAATAGGATTTTTCTGTGATTGCTCATACTTGAATGAATTTTTTTCTAGGAACCAAATATCTATGTTGCCAATAACCATTGCTCACACACTTCCCCTCTTTTTTCTCCGCATTACAGATACAGTTGGATCAAGAACGGCAAGAAGTTCGACTGGCAGGCGTACGACAACCGAATGCTGCGGCAGCCGGGACGCGGAACCCTGGTGATCACCATTCCGAAGGACGAGGACCGTGGCCATTACCAGTGCTTCGCCTCCAACGAGTTCGGAACAGCCACCTCGAATTCCGTGTACGTGCGAAAGGCCGAGCTGAATGCCTTCAAGGACGAGGCGGCCAAGACACTGGAGGCGGTCGAGGGTGAGCCGTTCATGCTGAAGTGTGCGGCGCCCGATGGCTTCCCCAGTCCCACCGTCAACTGGATGATCCAGACATCGATCGACGGCAGCATCAAGTCGATCAACAACTCCCGCATGACCCTCGACCCCGAGGGCAACCTGTGGTTCTCCAATGTGACCCGCGACGACGCCAGCTCGGACTTCTACTACGCCTGCTCGGCGACGTCGGTGTTCCGCAGCGAGTACAAGATCGGCAACAAGGTGCTCCTCGACGTCAAGCAGATGGGCGTCAGCGCCTCCCAGAACAAGCATCCGCCCATTCGCCAATACGTCTCCCGTCGCCAGTCGCTGGCTCTGCGCGGCAAGCGCATGGAGCTCTTCTGCATCTACGGTGGAACGCCGCTGCCGCAGACCGTTTGGAGCAAGGACGGCCAGCGGATACAGTGGAGCGATCGCATAACCCAAGGACACTACGGCAAGTCGCTGGTCATACGACAGACAAACTTCGACGACGCAGGAACGTACACTTGCGACGTTTCGAACGGCGTGGGCAATGCCCAGTCCTTCTCCATCATCCTGAACGTGAACTCCGTGCCGTACTTCACCAAGGAACCGGACTTCGCCACCGCCGCCGAGGACGAGGAGGTGGTCTTCGAGTGTCGCGCCGCCGGTGTTCCCGAGCCGAAGATCAGTTGGATACACAACGGCAAGCCCATCGAGCAGTCGCCACCGAATCCCCGACGAACGGTGACCGACAACACGATTCGCATCATCAACTTGGTGAAGGGCGATACTGGCAACTACGGCTGCAACGCCACCAACTCCCTGGGCTACGTGTACAAGGATGTCTACCTGAATGTCCAGGCTGAGCCGCCAACGATCTCGGAGGCGCCCACGGCGGTGTCCAGTGTGGATGGCCGCAATGTGACCATCAAGTGTCGCGTCAACGGTTCCCCCAAGCCGCTGGTCAAGTGGCTGCGTGCCAGCAACTGGCTGACCGGCGGTCGCTACAATGTCCAGGCCAACGGAGACCTCGAGATCCAGGACGTAACCTTCTCGGATGCGGGCAAGTACACGTGCTATGCCAAGAATAAGTTTGGTGAAATCCAGGCCGACGGTTCGCTGGTGGTCAAGGAGCACACCAGGATCACGCAGGAGCCGCAGAACTACGAAGTGGCCGCTGGACAGTCGGCCACCTTCCGGTGCAACGAAGCCCACGACGACACCCTGGACATCGAGATCGATTGGTGGAAGGACGGACAGTCGATTGACTTCGAGGCACAGCCACGATTCGTGAAGACCAACGATAATTCACTGACGATTGCCAAGACCATGGAGCTGGACTCTGGGGAGTATACTTGCGTGGCGAGGACTCGCCTGGACGAGGCCACCGCCAGGGCCAACTTGATTGTGCAGGATGTGCCGAACGCCCCCAGGCTGTTGGGCATCACGTGCCAGGCGGACAAGGCGGAGATCCAGTGGGAACCGCAGGGAGACAACCGCTCACCGATCCTGCACTACACCATCCAGTTTAACACCTCGTTCACGCCGGCCTCGTGGGACTCCGCCTACGAGAAGGTGCCCAACACGGACTCCTCCTTCGTGGTCCAGATGTCCCCGTGGGCCAACTACACGTTCCGTGTGATCGCCTACAACAAGATCGGAGCATCGCCTCCGTCGCCGCACAGCGACAGCTGCACCACCCAGCCGGATGTGCCGTTCAAGAATCCCGACAACGTCGTCGGCCAGGGCACCGAGCCCAACAACCTGGTCATCTCGTGGACCCCCATGCCGGAGATCGAGCACAATGCACCCAACTTCCACTACTACGTGAGCTGGAAGCGGGACATTCCCGCCGCCGCGTGGGAGAACAACAACATATTCGACTGGCGACAGACCAACATTGTGATCGCCGATCAGCCGACGTTCGTGCGCTACCTCATCAAGGTGGTGGCCATCAACGAGAAGGGCGAGTCGAATGTGGCCGCCGAGGAGGTGGTCGGTTACTCCGGGGAGGATCGTCCGCTGGATGCGCCCACCAACTTCACCATGCGACAGATCACCTCGGCCACCAGCGGCTACATGGCCTGGACGCCGGTGAGCGAGGAGTCGGTGCGGGGCCACTTCAAGGGCTACAAGATCCAGACCTGGACGGAGAACGAGGGCGAGGAGGGTCTGCGGGAGATCCATGTCAAGGGGGATACGCACAATGCTCTGGTCACGCAATTCAAGCCGGACTCGAAGAACTTTGCCCGCATCTTGGCCTACAACGGACGATTCAATGGACCGCCGAGTGCCGTCATCGATTTCGATACTCCGGAAGGTGTTCCGTCGCCGGTCCAGGGATTGGATGCCTATCCCCTGGGCTCCTCCGCCTTCATGCTCCACTGGAAGAAGCCGCTCTACCCGAACGGCAAGCTCACTGGCTACAAGATCTACTACGAGGAGGTCAAGGAGAGCTACGTGGGCGGGCGACTCGAGTACGATCCCCACATCACCGATCCGCGGGTCACACGGATGAAGATGGCAGGCCTGAAGCCGAACACCAAGTACCGCATCTCCATCGCGGCTACTACCAAAATGGGAGAGGGATCCGAGTAAGATAAATGGATACAATGTATTTGTGTATATTGTGCTAATTATACCCTTTACTTTCTGTAGACATTACATTGAGAAGTCAACGCTGAAGGATGCCATCACTGTGGCCCCGTCCACGCCCTCCTTCTCCTGGGAGCAGCTGCCCTCCGACAACGGACTGGCCAAGTTCCGCATTAACTGGCTGCCAAGCACCGACGGTCATCCTGGAACTCACTTCTTCACCATGCACAGGTACCTCCCAAATGGCTAATCACTATTGTAGAGAAGGGAAACTAATTGGAATTTGAATACCTGCAGGATCAAGGGCGAGACGCAGTGGATGCGCGAGAACGAGGAGAAGAACTCGGACTACCAGGAGGTGGGTGGCCTGGATCCCGACACCGCCTACGAGTTCCGTGTGGTCTCCGTCGACGGTCACTTCAACACGGAGAGCGCCACGCAGGAGATCGACACGAACAGCGTGGAGGGACCCATCAAGGTGGCCAACCAGACGGTGGCCAATGCCGGCTGGTTCATCGGCATGATGCTGGCCCTGGCCTTCATCATCCTCCTGTTCATCATCATTTGCATCGTGAGGCGCAATCGGGGCGGCAAGTACGATGTCCACGATCGCGAGTTGGCCAACGGCCGGCGGGATTATCCCGAGGAGGGCGGATTCCACGAGTACTCGCAACCGTAAGTCTACAATTAATACTCGATTAATCGAGAATTAATCGATTAATTTTCAATTATTTCACAGGTTGGATAACAAGAGCGCAGGTCGCCAATCCGTGAGTTCAGCGAACAAGCCAGGAGTTGAAAGCGATACCGATTCGATGGCCGAATACGGCGATGGCGACACAGGTTAGAATCCTTTTTATCTGTACAAAAAAACAGATAGTTATCTGTTCGAAATATCCATGTCACTTCGAGTACGACCCTGTTGTCTATCTGGTTATCCCCAAAAGCGGTAGTTTGCGATAGAATGTTTTAAACTTTTACTGCATTGTTGGTAGATGAAAGTTGAATTTTTGTTAAAATTAGCATTAGTAGTTTTGTAATCTTATACTATGAGAATCAAGTTCTGATTTTTTAATTAGAAGCATGTTTTTAGGCTCAATTTTTTTTTTAGAAAAACAATAACGTTCCGCTGAATTACCGTTATTGGGGTTAATCGGAGAATCAATAACAGTTACCTTACTATAGTTAGGTTCAGCACACCACCACTCAAAAAATAAAAAAACATTACCTTTTTGTTGTCTCTCTTTGGTTGTTTCACTCTTGATTTCTTTTGCCACACTTGTTTTTGGTTTATTTTTTCGTGGGATGTGAATATGAATATGGATAATGATCAGCCGTGGCCACTGCCGCTGCCCGCGCCGCTGCTGCAGCCCGCAGCAAGACGACGTCGCTGCCAACGTCAACGTCCACCCAACAACAACAACAACAACAGCAATTGCCGTCACTGCCCCAGTTGCCGTCGACGTCGGCGTCAACAGTTCCATTGCCATCGACCCAAACGCTCCTCCCGGTCGCTCCCACTTCCAATCCCACTCCCATTTCCACCGTCTCCCCGCCGTCCTACGAATTGTGCATGGCGGATGCTGAGCACCGCAAGGCCTAAAAGAGAGTAGAGGAGCTTCCTTCCCCCTTTCTCTCCCCAGTCCGGCGTTGTTGTTGTTATCCAATCAGTCAGGTAGCCCTTCCTTAAGTTTGATTTGATGCCTGATTCCTTTGCGGCTCTTTCCTTTACATGCGCTTCAAAGAGACCTAAATGGCAGCTGTATAAGCCATCATTTCTCTGTTTGCTGCCGCTGCATGAAGTTCAAGGCTGCTCTCCTTCGCGCTCTTCCCAACTCCTTCCAGGCAACCGAAGAGAGCCTTCGCCGTTATAAGGCTCCCGCGCTTTTGCTTTCTCTTGATTGATTCAGTGATCTCTGCACGAAATGTTTACCTTTTTTATATTATTCGTTATATTTTAATACTAATAACTGTTGCGAATTTCGCGAGCCTTCATCCATTCGCTCTCCTTAGTGGTTCATAAATATAGAAAATATCAATGGAAATCGATGTTATTGCCACTTTCTTCTAATCGCCGATTAACAAAAATGAAATACACCATCCATATTGTATACATAATTCGTGTTCCTTGTTATGTGAGATTTGTTTATTTGTTCCATATTATATTTTATTTGTGATTGCACATTTTATTTATATTATATATTTGTATTATTTTCTTCCTTTTTTTCGAAACACGTAAACTCACAAAATAAAATCAAATAAAATTCGACAACGACAACCAATATTCAGGCATGAACGAAGATGGATCCTTTATTGGCCAATATGGACGCAAAGGACTTTGATTAAGTTAGTAAGCAGCGCGCCGCAACAGCAACTCAAAAAATATCGAAACCGAGCCCTTTACCCCAAATAAACAACAAGACCAAACACCATCACAGCTGAAAAAGAAAAACTTGTGGAAAACTACCCAACTATCAATGGGTATCAACTAACCATTATTCAATTAAGTGCAAAAACGACGATTAATTTAACATAAATATATAAAATAGAGGTTTTATATATAATTATTAAAATTTTAAAGTGTGTAAAAAAACAAATGCAAATGCAAATCGAAACTGCCAAACAAAATGAACAACAACAGCAACAACAACGAGGATGCAGCAAAAAGGCTATTAACAAAATAAAAGTAAAAATCGGTCATCTGAAGAAGAAGTAGTAATCGAGAAAGAAAATGCATGCCAATCGATACGAATAACGAAAAAAAGATATATCTTTCTGGACATTATCGGGCAGCTGCGTGTAATTTTTTTTTGTTAAGAAATTTAAGAAACTATGAGGAAAAGAAGCTCGCTTTTAAAATCTCTATATTGCGCACACGTCTACCTGTCCCACTCTAAACCCTGCACTCTGTATATCTCTGTCCCGCTCTATCCCTGTTTTTACTTGTAATGCATATTAAATAAGTTATAATTTAATAATTTTTTTACAAAATCAACACTCGAATGTAAAATCTCCGTTTTAGCTTGGCCGTAAATGGAAGAGAAGCCCTTTAAGCTTACATGTTTACTACTTTATTTAAGCCTATTGTGTGTATTTTGTTTTTATTTCTTTATTTTATTTTTTTTAGTTTGTTTAATGAATTACAAACATATTTTTGCTTTGATTTTGGACAGTGAAACAGTGTTGTAAAATGTAAAAAACGTTTCCTGTTTGTTTTCCGGAAACAGCTAAAAGAGAAGTTTCATTTTTCAGTGTATTTAATAATATAGAATGAATGAAGAGAACAGCATACTTGTATGAAAATATTATTTTTCTTGTATACATATGATGTACTTTCGCATATTAAATTAGAAGGAAAAACAAATAAAATAAAGAAAACCGAACCGACAACGACATTTGTGTAGAATTTCGTATAATTTTTTAAAGCAGAAGTAAATGGAAGTGCATGCAACGTTTTAAAATTTTTGGATTTCTGGAGACCGAAAATTAAAGAAACAAAATTTCGGCTTATCCAAATTTGTTTATGTAATTTTTTGGTTATTCATCATTTTAAGCTGAAACATTTGCAAGGTAAAGTTGAGTATATTTCCAAGCATGACCTATATTTTTTAACTTTAAATTATATTCGTAGTTTGCTTAGTAAAGTAGTTATAGTTTAAAACAAATCCTTTTAGCGCACACCCAATTCCCAAACTCCGCAAGTTAATGAAAAGAACTAACTAAAATAAATAGAAAACAACTAATAAAACTATTAAATCGCGAGAAACATGAACAATGGCACTGGTGTTGGTTGTGGTTAACAAATATTTCATTAATATAATTCTTACAAATGAAAACACATTTTTATATTATTTAACATATAATTTGTCTTTGGTTGTGATAATTTAAATTATACCTAAATCTCTTAAGTTGTCACGATTTAAACTGTGGCAAATGCCAAACATTGGAAAGCCATATATCTGTTGAAAATCATAAATTGAAGAGTACTGTATGAGATAATAATGTGTATGTGTTTTCCAACCCCAGGACAATTCACCGAGGACGGCTCCTTCATCGGGCAGTACGTTCCCGGAAAGCTGCAGCCGCCGGTGAGTCCACAGCCGCTGAACAACACCGCTGCGGCGCACCAGGCGGCGCCCACTGTCGGAGGATCTGGAGCCGGATCGACGGCAGCCGGACCATCGGGATCGGCGGCCGGAGGAGGAGCGGCCGCTGCCAGCAACGGAGGCACTGCAGCCGGAGCCGTGGCCACCTACGTCTAAGAGGCGTGGCTGGGATTCATTTGCCCCACCCCCCCAAGATTCTCCTGGTTTTCTTCAAACGATTCTACAAGCGCCCCTTAAACCAAAAACTTTGTGTAATTCTATGTGTAAAACGAAAACTGCTTTAAGTGTCTGCAAAAAAGAAAACAAATTATAATTAACTGAAAAGGAAAAAACAAAACTAAAAAAAAAAAAAACAAACAAAAACCAATTGTAAAGAGAAGAAAAACTCGCATGAATTTAAAGCATATAATTTTGCTTCTTTTGGCTTATAAAATTATTCTAGCAAACAGTTAATACTTTTTCAAGGAACAAAAAAAAATTCTATAGGCTTAAAGAAAAACAAAACAAAAAAATGTAAACGTTTAAAGTGTATGGGAAACGGAGATGAATAATTAATGATGAGGCCTGTTTATGTAATAGTTTTTTTGATCGAAATACTTTTTAATTTTTAGTTGTTAGTGGCACAAGGACTTATATCTATATGGAAATCGAGTCGAGTTTTTTGTAAACCAAAGAAAATGGCGAACTGAGGGATCGAGTGGGAATGAAGGCAATATCGAGAGATAAACGGATATAACGATTCCAGTCTAATCTAAACTAAGATTTGTTCCAAATGTACAAACAAACAAAGAAACAAAGAAAAACCAAGGCTTAAATAAGAACCATCGGGCAGCTTCGATTAAAAGTTGACTGAAGTGCGAAGTTAATGCCTCGACTATTTTGCAATCAATTATAAAGTACAGAACTGCTCGTCAATGTATGACTAACCAAATATCGATGTGTTCAATTAGCAGCAAGTCAAAGTCAAATTTTCAACTTGACCTCGTCTTTACTTTTCGCCACAATCAAAGACTTTAAGGCATAGCAGATTTTCCAGAGAAGAAACAAACGGAGAAACAGAAAAACAGAAGCTACCGATTTCCCTTCGCCGGCAATTCGAATATAATGTATAAGTTCCAATTTTCGTCCATAGTCTAATGCAATTTTTCGCGTATAGTGTTTAAACTGAATACTTTCATTTTGTCCATTAATTATTTAAGTAAAGCAAATTAGTTAATTAACCAATTAGCTGGCCCACTTGCACAAGTCGGTCATTGTAACCTACTATGATATGCAGCTTAAAACCTATAATTGTTCCCTATAGTACTCCTCATTATTTTGATGACAATGTTGAAAACCTTTGGGATGCAAGTTGCTTCTCCGGTTTTTACTTAATTCCAGATACTTGTAATGATAACAATGTACTCATCATTTTTTTTTTAAACTAAAAAACACACAAAGTGGCATTAGAACCTAAACAAACACAATAAAATAAAATGAAATGGAAAAGAACACAAATATTGTTTTTTGAAAATCTTCTTTGCCGCTTTGAGAGAAGAAATGCTTCGAACTTTGTAAGAAACTCGATCCGAATATATCTAATAATATATATTTGTTAGTGTACACATTGCGCTTTAATCTACACTTGAAAAAAAGGGAAGGAAAACAACCACAGTCCCGTGACGGAATCAGTTTTTGAAACGTTAATTCGAATCGGTTTAGCTTTGTTTGCGAATTAGGCAGTATATTAAGTACGTTAGGTGGATATATAAGCTTATGATTATTTGGTCTTTAACGAACATACAGGGTTGCTTAGTAAAATTTTTGCATAGATTTAAAAACGAAAAGGAAAACGTGAAAAGATGAAAAGATGAAAAGAAGAAAAGATGAGTAGGCGGCGTGTATTCGGATGAATCATATTTTGTGCACTGCGTTCTGTTTGTTGTTATTTCCATTAGCTATTTGTAATGAACTATAATCCCCGGCTTCAGCATAGTTTTCAATCGAATCGAATAAAATAAAATTACAAACACCCCCAACCTCCCCGAAAAACGAACCCACACTTGTAAAATTGGGAGACAACCGAACGAACGAACGAACGAACGATCCACACACAATTCACCTGCACCACGCATATCCCAACGATTGATATAACACGATTGATATATACGAGGACGAAGAAGAAGAGCGAGGTAGATCGAAGGGGAGGAGGAAACTAGATCGGAAAGGAAAGGACATGCAAGGACAACAAGACGAAAGTACTACATAACAAAACAATACAAACAAAACTTGCTATACAACAGTATATATGGATATATGATATATATTTACAGTATAGAGGACAACGGTCTAAATCTAATGTTCACGACAAATCTATATATATATATATATATATATACAAAACATATAGAGAGATGTATAAGATTTTGCATAGATATTGTGATTTCCAAAATGAAAACCCAAAATAGTCAATAACAATGTGCAGAAGCGAAAACAAAAACTCAAATAAGTAATCCAATTAAACTAAACTAATATTTCCTCTTTTGTCGTATGAAAAAAACAAATTAAAGTGTTCATCAGTGGAGTTATCGAAACAATCGTTCGTCTTCGATAGAGAGACAGAGCCAGGAAAATCGATTTCGATATCGAAAGCGATAGCTAAAGAACCACAACAACAAAAACTGCACTGCCTGTGTCGGGTTCTATTTTACATTAACATTTACAGGATCATAAACATAAACGCGCTTTAAAAATGCGTCGCTTGAGGAATTCAGAAAACCGAAAGCAAAGGCAAACCAACATCCATGCAAAGATTTTTGAAACTAATAAAGGTAATTTGCACAATACTGTGATTCCTAGCAAGAAACATAAAAGACACGATGAACAATTAACGATTAACGATTAATGATCAACTTTTGTGTGTGTTTGTGTGGTTCGAAAATTGATGTGTTTGTATTGTATATTTTTCACAGCATATTGAAAATGTTTACAACCAGAACTACTTATCTAACCACTCAGTAATACCCAACTTGAACAATTTACTTGCATATGATTATTACGATTATTATTGCTAACCAATGGCCTAACAACAAAATATATATTATGCAAAACGAAATCGAAAACAAATGAAAACACAAGAATACAAAAGTACTTTTTTAAAATGAGTTTTTAGCGAATCAAATATAAATTTAAGATTAACAAATTCATATACAACAAACAGCAAAACAGCAGCCTCTATAAAAAAAAAGAACAACCAGATCAGAACAAGCAGGAAAACAAATTTTGGCAAAGAAAATCAAAACGAGCGAAGGCAGATAGTGCTGTCTGAAAGATCTGAAAATGTGTAAGCTGTAAAACCTATATGAGAAATAAACTATAGAAACTATATAAAAAATAAAAGTATTGCTGTTTTTTTCGGAATGGACTTTTTATTTACATATTTTGAAATCGAATTATTGATGATAATAAAAACTGGAAAACAACGAGTTCGAGGAGTTTTTTTTTGTCCATTTAGACAGAAAAATTGGCAGATTTTTAAAGCCAAATACTAGGCGCGCAGAAATGCCTAGAAGGTGGCTACAAAATCCAAACCGGATTTCGTGTGGATCGCATGTAGTCAAGTTTCAAACCACGGCTGTGGGCAGTGATCTTTACCAGCATCCACAGATGAGAAACGTTGCATATCTTAAGGGGCTCCCGATTTTCGATTTCGAATTTTTTTAGCCACTTTCTAGGCATTTCTGTTCGCCTGGTATTTTGTTTTCAGAAATTCATAGTAGGTCGCAACAAAGTAAATCTGAGTTAAGTAAAATTGAGAAACCTCCCAAACCCAATAAAGGAAAGCAAAAATTAATTTTATTTCATTTTATTTATAGAAAAAGATACATTCATCTGATATACACAACTGATGCCTCAAACAATGTGTTATTTAGCTCCGCCCAATTGAAATCTTAAACCTGATGCACATCTAACTAACAGTTGCTCGGTTCCCCGAATCCCCTGCATCTCCAGCGGCTGCGTAGCCTTGTCAGCTCTTGAGGGCGCTCCTCCGCCGCCGGCGCCGACCACTAATCACAGCCTCGTCGTCGACCTGCTCCGCCTGTCCAGCGCCATCCGCCTGAAAGTCAGGCTAAATGCCTCTCCTGACTGGCTTCGGTGCGAAGAGCACCTTGGCCGGCTTGCAGAGCTCCAGTTCGCTGCCGGGACGAACGGCGAGGCAGAGCTGGATCTCCACCAGCGAGGATTCCGTCCAGACGCTGTGCGACAGCAGGATGGTGGTGCGGAGGCGCACGTTCGTCTCGTGCTCGCCCTGCTCCGTCATGATGGGCTTGAAGTCGCTCTGCTTGGGCACCACCGTGTGCATATGTTGATCCGGGTACTTGATCTTGATCCGCATGTCCGCCTTCTGCGACTCCAGCAGATTGTCGATCTCGGCCACAAAGGGAACGGCTGCTATAAGACCGGCCGTCACCTTGATCACATTATCCTGCGACTGCAGCGGACATGGCTCCAAAATGTTGGCCACACAGCGGCGGATCTTGTCGTTGGCGGGTGGCAATGCCAGCGGGGGAGCCTGCTGCACCAGCGGCAGAATCTCGCGGAAGACGCGACCCGGCTTCGGATCCGAAATGCCATCCAACTTGCTCAGCAACTGGCGGGTGAAGCTATCCGGCTGCGCCTTTCGACTCGCTGGCTCGTTCTTCGGTTTTTCGGGCTCGAGAAGCGGCAGTGCACCCACCGGCGGCTTCTCCTCCTCCTCCTTGGTGTTCGCCTTGATGAACTCGCTGATGTCGCCGGCGGTCTGCAGAAGCATCTGACAGGGACCCAATGCACTCTGTGAGCGATCCCTGACCACCAAAACCAGGTGGAGGGCGCAGGCGCGGAGCCGCAGCTGCTTCACCTGCAGAATGTCGCCGTAGTTGAGGCCCGAAAACGTGTGCTGCAACTTGAGGCAGTTGCGGATGAGCGCCGCCAGGGACTCCTTCAGCGGAACCCGACTGCGTTGCGTGCTGGCGCAGCGCTGCATCTGTTCGATTTGGATCTGGGCGGCCAGGAAGGTCTCCAGGAAGTTCGAGGTGCCGTACATGCCAGCATCGATGGCTCCCAAGCGCTGAAGGTTCACAGAAAAGGAAAATAAGTAAGTATGAAAGATATTTTATATATAAGAAGCTAGCCTACCTGCAAATTGGACTGGGCGGTCTGCAGCAGTTCCACGCGCTCGTCGGCCATCGTGAAGATCTCCTCGATGTGGCTGAGGATCATCTGCAGGTAGTCCGCCGAGCTGCCCGCCTGCCGCATGGCCGAATCGATCCTGTGCGTGGCGCTCGAGGAGGAGGCACCCTCGATGGGCAGCTGGGGCACCAGATGCGGCATCGAGTCCCGCAGATAAGCGTAGTGCCTATGCGTGGCTGTGGGCAGGAGACTGATGATGGGCACCAGGTGCTCGGCCGCATTGAAGACCAGGATGAGCACGCACAGGTAGGCGGGATCCTCGACATCCCGCTCGGGCGTCTCGAAGAAGGGATGCACGTAGAGCAGGTGAACGGTGACCGCCATCACCAGGTGCGGATGCTTCTGGCCAATCTTGCGCATGCAGGCGTACGTCGAGTGGCGGTCCTGCGGATACTTGGCCAGCACATCGAGCAGCTTCTGCACGACCATCAGCAGGCACGTTTGCGTGGACACGCGGCAGGCGCCCAGCATGAGATGCAGTCCCTCGCGCACGTCCACCGAGTAATCCTCGAGCGAACTGAGCATGATCTCCAGCTGATCCTCGCGCAGCACTATGTGCCTGGCTATCGCGGTCAGGCTGTAGATGGCCTTCAGCCGCACGTCCTCGATCTCGTCGTTGAACATGTCCACGAGGAAATCCAAGCTGGTCACCGCAAAATCCGGTCGCGATAAGGCCAACTTGCACATGGAGGCCACGGCGGCGGTGCGCACCTCCAGGAACTCATCCTCCAAGCCATGGATCAAGGCGCCACATGCTCCGCTGGCTATGATCGAGATGCTCCTTGCGTCCAGGCGCTCCTGCGGCGCATCGTCCGCCCAACGCTTTCCAGAGGACCACTCACCACTGGTCACCAAGCGAGCACCTCGCTCGTGGGCCGTCCGCTTGCGACGCAGATTGCTCATCAGCTTCTTGTCCAGCGTTTGGTGCAGGAACTCCCGGCTAACGGCGGTCATGCCGCCCAGCAGTTCCGCTGCGAGGACACGAATCTGCAGCGAGAGATCGCAGAGTGCCTCGCACACCTTGCTGAAAGCGGCGTCTATCATGCGCAGCTCCTCCTGCTGGCGATCCGAGGGGATTACGTAGTCCGGATGCCGATTGCCCAGCATGAAGACCAGACGCAGTGCCTCCTTGCGTACGCACTCGTAGTCATCCTTCATGGCTTCCACCGCTCGCTTGTAGAGCACCGCCGGCAGCTGGGAGCCGCGTTCGCCGAGGGTTAGGAGGGCGTGCAGCGCCTGGGCACGCACCCCCGAATCCTGCGAGTCGATGTAGAAGGCTAGCTTCCACACGTAGTGCCGTTCGCCTTCCATTTTCGTTGCGAATCCTCCAATCACCAGCATGGCGTTCTTTTGCGTGTGCGTTGAGCCCGAACGCAGCTGTTCCTTGGCCAAGTGGGCCACCTGGGTGTTGTACGCAATGGGCACCAGGTGCTTCCGGCGCTGCCCAATCCGGAAGAGGCACATCATGCCCTGGGCGAGCACCTTTTGGGAGGTTTCCTTGCGCAGCAGGAAGATGAAGTAGTCTATCACCAGGGTCACCGCCTGCTCGGTGGCGCACTCGCATCCCAATCCAGAGAGGAGCTCCAGCAGCTTCACCCGTATCGAGGTATCACTGTCGCGTTCCTGCAGCTGATACAGTTGGAATATCTTGCTGGCCACCTCCTTCAGTTCGGCCAGTTCGACGTCCTCGTAGGATATCTCATCGGTGATCTTGACGAGGAGCTCTAGCAGTTCCCTGCTATTCCCGGCGGATAGCTGAGAGGTTCCCGCTGTTGTGGGCGGTGGATTGACAACTCCTCCTCCAACTGCAGATGGAGCCGGACCTGTTAGAGCCGAGGGTGGACCAGTGGGCAAGGAGGAGGTCACACCCGCTGGCAGGTTGCTCACGTAGGCGTCCAGTTGGGTGAGCGCCGTCAGCTTGCGCTCCACATTTCCCGCTTTTCCGGCTGATTTCCCGGTGGCATCGGCGGCCAGAGTTTGCAGGCGCAGCTTCTTCACCACCGGCGCGCCTTCCACAGTTTCGGAGTACGTTCCGAAACGCTTCTTGATGGCCAACGCCATGCCGACATCCACTTCGTAAATTCAACCAATGAATTGTCTTCTGTCTTGGCTTCCACCTGTTGGCAGTTTCGTAAAAATAAATATCCAAATTGAATGCTGGTCTTAGCGATTAGAGATGACAACACAGGGTCAGTGTTGCCAGGTATTTCACCATCTGGCGTTACGTTAACCTAGCGAGTGCACCCTCCTTAGCTGTCATATTAACCGTACTTAGCAAGTGCACCAACCACAACTAGCCGCGATAGACTCCATTACAACCATCAAATGTAAGGAGCGGGAAATTTAAATATTGGAAATAGATTTATTTGAGAATATGCCGTTTTATCGAGTGCACCGTAAGTACGTATTTAAATACATCAACGATCTATAATATTGCTAATAATTATTAGCAAAGGGTCTTAAAAATGGTCTGAATCTTAAACTTAACGGCTTAAACCCCATTGATTATCACCCAGAAATTTTACCAACTGTTTTTGTTTTTAAATATTAATATATTTTTAATTTCCCTTACCGATAAAACAACCAGATAAAACACCAGACTGCTGATCAAAGCACTTTTAATAATAATCACAGGGTCGGCCGAGATATACAATTAAATATGCGTAAAAAAAAAAAACAGGACTAAACTCAATACGCTACAAAAATTCGGTTTCAGAAAATAATAAAGACGTTTGTGAAGCGTTTTCAAATTGTATATTGTAAATTAGTTTTTGTTAGCGTGTTGAACATTTGTAATACGAAAATGCTCTTATTTTATGTTTACCTGGTTCAAAACCAAATGTTTCAAATCGGCCCAATGTGCACTAGCTAAAATGTAAACATTTTATTGTTTCCAGTTTCGGTCTTACATACTTGTTTAATCTAGATTTTTACTGTTCTCATTAATTTTCTGTTAACTTTTTGCTGTTGCTTTAATTTTAGTTTAAAAATGTGTTAAGTCTAACTTGTATTCTAACTTGCACTTTTTTGTTTTGGGAATTTAAAGATACAGTCGAACTTCAATAACGCAAGCCATCATCTGCCGCCAAAAAAAAAAATTCGAGTTATGGAGGCTTCGATTTATTGAATTGGTTTGTCGTGTATTTATATTTATTGGTTTGCCAATACAACTAGTTTTACTTATAGAGACTTCGAGTTAGGTAAGGTTGAGTTATGGAAGTTTGACTGTAGTGATATATTTTTCTTTGTATTTATGAATATCTGCAATTCTTTCTGTCTGAAAACTATACTCTTTCGGAATATCTTTTTTTAACGCTCTTTATATTCGGCATTCGTTGCTGTTGACACTCATTTTTTTTTTCATTTAAAAATAGTTAACTTTATACTTGTGTTTAACATTATCATACAATTTAGTTTATGTTTTTCCTTTTAATTTATGTTAGCTTTTCTGTTTAAGATAAGTTATGTTCGTTTGCCTTTAAGTCCAGTACTCAGATTGAAAAACATCTTTGCCAGCAGAAATTTTGCTATTTAACCAATTGTCGGAAATTGTTCCCCCACAAAAAATATCTGCAGAGTACAAGAAATATTCGCCATATATTACGTAGGCCAATTTTTAGAAATTGTTGTTGAGTTGATAAGACTGCAAGAAACTACACTACCATTATTATTATCTAACGTTCTTCAAATCCTTTCGACTAACGACTTTCGCGTTTCGACTTTCCAGTTTCGACTTTCCAGTTTCGACTTCATACTGTGCAAATAAATATTATAAAATTCAGGCTCTGACGAACCAGTAGGAAAGCCTTGATTAAGTTGTCCTCTATTTTATTTTCTAATGGCTAGCAAATATTTTTCAATTCTCTGTGTACTGTGCTCCATGATTTCGGCACTGCGTATCGTTTTTTTGTTTTTTAAAATGCAATCAGTGTTTCTCTATACGAAATTGCGTATTTTTTTTGGGTTATTTGCAGAGTGCAATTCGATAAATTTAGCAAGTATTGTTTTTTGTTTTCAATAGTATTTTCTCTCACAACTGTGATGCGTGTGTGTGTGTGTTTGTGTGTGTATTTATTGTGTTAGTGTGTGTGTTCAATTTTGACGGCTTTCATTATGAGTTTATTGTGCGATCATTTCAGATAAATGACATTTTTTGCGTTGAAGCGTAGTTTCTTATCGCGAACAATTTTCACTATCAACTCTCTAGCTTTCGCTCACTTTGATTTTCTCGTGACTGGATTACGTATTTGCTAATCCTTTTTATATCATAGCAACACATTTGTATACACTTATTCATTTATCAAAATCGAATAGCATGGGATCGAAAATGAATAGAAATACTAAATAGAAAATTATACGGTAAAGTGTGAAACTGAAACAGTTGGGCAGTAATTTAAAACCTGTTGAACGTGACATACAGACTATTTAAGTACTAGTTTTATTTAATAATAGTGTGAAGCTGTATACATATATGTATATCCTTAAATGTCGTGTTCTTTATTGCGTTCTTAAGTCGGTTTTGGGTTTGGTTTTGTTGAGTGTATTTTTGGCGCTCCTCAAACTTTGTGTTTTTGTTGTTTTTTTCTTTAGAGGGAGGTGGATTGCATCTACGAGCGCTCCGCGATTTAGAAACCTCTGCTTTGTATCTGTATCTCATGGGCGAATTGAATGTACACGGCAACGTACATTTGAGCCCAGACAGTTATTGTTTTAGCCCGACTTGAATTCTCATTGGTTTTATACAAAATGCATTCACATACGTACATACGTTACTCTATATACGTTACTCAATTCATTATAATATGTTGCTTTTTGTTTTTATAACCATCAGACACATCGTTAAAAATATAAAAATTTTAAATAGCAAAACTCTTTGACTGTCAACGTATTTCAGTTTGAAAAGCTTAGGTTCTCGGGTTCAATTGATTTCTGTTGTTCCTAATATTTTGATTGGCTTTATTCACTTCACAGAAAAGCACCAGCGTCTTCTTCTTCTACATCTATTTCTTCTTCTTCTTCATCATCTTCTTCGTATCCAGTGGCATGTCATTTTCCGCTTCGATTTTCATTTTTCCTCGAGCCGCACTTCCGCTTACGGAAACTGCAATGGAAATTGTTGCTTATTGGCTGTCTGCAAATCGAAAACACTCACGCAAAAAGCGTAAGAGCACTTACAATGAAATGAGGCGCTGAAAATAACACAGCAAGGGTCGCGATAATAGTAAACAAGGTGAAAATAATAAGGCACAAACGATCGACGACCATGGCAGCAAATTTCCAATCTCGTGTGATGTCGCTTGTCTCGTCTTCTTTTTTGAGCTGCGAAATTTAAGTAGGTAAATGGGTAATAATAAACTATTAAATATTCTTGAAAAGTAACTTCCAAAATTGTTTCATTAACTAGTACTTATTTAGACTTATAAAATGTTTCATTGATTAGTACTTTTTAATACTTTCCCTAAACTAAACACAATCAATTCAGAGCAACTTGTTTTATAGTTTCTGTTTATTAGCTCCTAAGTGTGCATGCCCAACAATTTGACCTTTGACCCACCTGTTCGGTTATCCAGCGCAGCTCCTTGAGTATCAGCGCCAACTCGTATTCCGCCGAGGAAGTGAGACAGGTGTGGGAAATGGCCTCGTGCAATCGGCCATCTACAACGGGGCCAGCTGGTCCTACAGGTCCCACGCTGCCGTCGTCGCCTTGTCTGCGGATAGGAAAAGTTTTCCAAACATTTTCAATCTATCAGGAGGGAAAGTTCAGCTCTTCACCCATCAAGCTGTGTACACAAATAAATCAAATACATACAGGGATATCTCAAAGAATCTCAACAGTTATAGGTTTTAATTTATCAAAAAGGAAAGTTCAGTTTGGAATCAATCATGGGATATGCCTTGGATCTAAAAGTCTATACTTTTAAAAACTTCAATCCATCAAAAAGGAATGTCAAACCAAAAAAAGTATTCAATTATTTATTATTTTAAATCATGATTAATATACTAAGTTATGATTATTATATTTGTATTCGTTCTTTAATATTGAATAGTAATATATAGCTCATATATCTCAACTCCTTTTAGGAGCACCCTGCGGTACAATCAACCACATACACTTCAACTCATTAGATGAACTTCTTGATGTTGTTTTAGAGAGTGATGGACAAACCTGTACATGGTCCTGTAGTAGGTCGGCTGGTGCGGCAAGGTGGCGCTGGCACACCGATGATTGCAGCGGAAATCATCGTCTATGTCGAGGACATTGGCCAGCAGAGACTTGGAGGATCTGTTCGGGGGAGGGAAGAAACGGGAAACGGAAGCGTTCTTGAGGCGTTGTTCTCAAAGAAAAGTCACCCATGACGGGCGACGGGGGAATGGTAGGTGGGTGGGTAGGTAGGTAGTATCTGGTTTACGATTACGAAAGCACCAGAGACCATCAGAGAGAATCAGAGAGAATCTCTGGCTGTTCGGTGCGATGATTGTTACCTCTCCTTGAGCTCAACGTTCTGTATCTGCTGCTTCTTCTCGCCGGAGTTTGAGGAACTCGAGGAGGAGGGCGGCGGCGGACATTCGTAGCCAACCTGTCCGGGTCTTTGCATGCGCAATATGCAAGGTAACCAATAAAGGAATATTACTCTTATCTGTGTGTGCGAGTTCGACAGAGAGACGGAGTGTAGTTGGGTAATGCGGTTAAAAATAATAGCAATACGAATTTTTAGTATTTTTTTTTAGACATGAAGGCCATTTAGGTTTATGTTTTGTTTTTTTTTTTTTTTGTTTAAGGTAATGATTGTTTTTTTTTTTATCGTTGTTATCTCAGTTTCGGGTGCGTTGTGTTTTTTTGTAATGACAATTTTCGTTTTTTGTTTTTTTTTTTTAATTTTGTTGGTTTAGCATGAAAACGAGGATGAACAGAATGAACAGTTATTTAAGTTTGAGGATTATTTATCGGTTCATCGCATAAGGTATTTATCGAACATTTTTTAAATACATTGTAATCGTGAGTTTTTTTTGGGGGAGAGCGATTATGAGTGTGTACGATTTGGTATTTTGTTGTATAGTTTTTAGTTGACACGTGCAATTGTCATCGTAGTTGTTGTTGTAGTTGTTGTTGTTGTTGTGGTCGCCATGTTGATATTTGAATATTATTAATTAGTTTTTTTTTCGGTTTTTTTTTTTTTTTTGTTAAAATAGTTAAAGTAACAGAGAGAGATAGAGAGATACACATGTAGAAAGAGGAAGATATACACATATATATAGAGAAACAATTGAAGAGGCAATTGAGTTGAGTTATATTTGCGTTGAAAGTAGTTGAGTTGCCGGTTTGCGTAGTTGTAGTTGTTGGCCAGAGTTTTTGTTGAAAAATAAACATTTTTGTGTGATTATTGATGCTGTTGTTGGTAGACGATTTCTTAAGTATGTAAGTTAGTATATGTACATGAGTAAAATCAAAACCAAATCAAGGAGTATGCATGAAATGGCTAAAAAACATTTGCAAAACATCATAGTACTATCGATGGAAAGATTTTTTTTATATTTTGTTCCATTATTAAGGGGATCGATGGTCCTAGAAACTAACAATGAAAGGGTTTGAGAACTACTTTCATTTTTACTTTATAAGTCCTTGTTGAATAAAATATTTGATAATTTTTTTCAGTTTTTTGTTGTTTTTTTTTAACAAATTAATTTTGGAAAGTATAAATGCTTAAGAGTTTTAAACCAATCGTTTACTTTAATTTGAGTATTTTTAAAATTATAGTTTAGTTGTTGAATTCCAATGCAGCAATTATTTATGTGCTCTCAATTTTAGAGCATAATTTATCTTGTTTTCGGATGCATAATTATGACATATATACCTGGTTGGAGTGGACGCTATATTTGCAAACAAAAATGAATCAATAATCGATTATTGCTCAATAGCAGAGGTGCTTTTTTATGATTTCATTAATGACCCACAAAAGCTATCACTGATTATAACCTTATTTGCAAATAGAAAGACATACCTGCCACCCGCAAAAGTAGACTATAGATTTATTTGTATATGCAAATAAGCTCGTTTTTGTGCTTTATTCTCTTTAATTTAATGTTCTTTTATTGTATTTTGATTATTTAGTTTTTTATCGATGCAGAAGGTTTTATATTTTTAGTCAGAAGCTTGCAGAGCAGAGAAGAGAAGACATTTTCGACATTTAAACTGAAAAGCCTTTAAAAAACTATTTAAAATAATCTATAGAATTAGGCCTGACTCAAATTCGGAAGTATAAACGTGATGATATGATGTTTATTAATAAGGAATAAAACAAGAAATGTTTTTTTTTATATTTCTAGTATGCTTAGTTGTGCTTTGTAACATTTTAAGGTATTTCTCGTTCAAGAATCGGTTTGAGATCCTGGAAAATATTTTGTATATTTTTAAAAAACGATTTATTTAGATAGAGGATTAAAATCAGTGCCCGAACAGAAAAAATCAGTATTGTACGCTCTTGGTACTAATTTTTGGTTTGGGTTTTTGTTGTTTGAATATATTAAATCTTACGTTATAAAAACATACCTGTATTTCTTTATAAAGATCAACTTCCGCCGAATTCGATTTCCGTTAATCGATAATCGTGTTTAAAAAGCGTAGAATTCGACCTTATTTCAATAAAAAGTTACTCAAATTACAATTTACAAAAATAAAAAGTATTTTTTTAAAACGCTTCTCCTTTATAAATAATAATTCTGCTTTATAAATCTTTTAAATTTAAAGTTGAACTTATAGTTACGTTGACCCAAGTATTTTTTTAATCGCTGACGAAATTTATACTTAAGTTAGGAAGAAAAAAGATTACATATTAGATTAGATCAACTCATTTACACTCAAAAAATTCTTTTTAAATCGACGGGGTATATTTGAAGATTATTTTGTGGCTATGTATTCGTGTACATTTGAGTTTCGCAATTTCATGGTTGAGTAATCAGTGTAGAATATACATTTTAGATTCTTTTAAATATATACACAACGTTAATACGCCCGGCCTTGCAAATAAATATTTATCAATAGTCAAGCCTTGCGATTGGCAACTTCAGTCTTTCTATTCGCAAATAAGGTTTTGATCAGTAATAGCTGTTGTGTTATTTTGTATTATGAATGAATCCATCACTTAATAAACTATCAAAACATATTTATTTGCAATTAAGCCAGGTGTCCAAACGTTTAGTAAGGAATAAATGAATAATATATCGAACTTTGTCTCACCGTTTCAACAAAAAGAGATTGAAATGTTTGTTTAGCAATCAAAATGTTTAAAACTCTTAAGTATATAGTTAGTGTTTTCGAAGAGTGTTCTTGCTTCTCTTACGATTGGGTAAGTTCAGTGGGACATTGTATAGAAGACATATGGATACGGATGGGGATTCAATTTGAGTGTCTCATGCTTGGCTCGATTGAGTATATCTTGCAAGTAATTGGTAATTGGTAATTGGTAATTGGGTGAATTGGTGTGATTCGAGTTTCGGGTGTCTATATGAGCGAAAAATATGGGTTAATGCAAATTAATGTTTTTATTATCGGTATCCTAGATATTTACAATTAAATAGGTTTAAAATGATTCGTTTATTTTGGTTAGCCAAAACACATTTGTAACAAACAATAAATATACAAATGTTTAGCAGTGGAATAATGCAAAAATTTGAAACAAAATCTGTATGTCGTGATTTATGTTGAAAGAAAATTATATTGTTCTTTTTTTTTTTTTTTTTTGGTTTTATTTTTACAATGTATGAAAGTAGTAAAGTTAATTTGAATATAAAAATATTACCCATTCACTCATTTCATGCGTATCTGGATTTCTATGATGATAATTGAGGATAAGTATGGTTGACACAACTGATGAGGCCACCATAAACATAATGCAATTGAAATAAGTTCCTAGAAGGACACAAAAATTACACAAACTTGTAAAAATTATTCCATTTCTTCAGTTTTTAATTGTTTTTTTTTTTTATTTTTCTTAACCTAGTTCCTAATCGATCACGCATAAACAGATTTATAAGTGTATGTGTGTTTGCATTTGTGTTCTCTAAAGTGCCTTTTGTCCGTTTTTTTTCCTTTCACCTGTTCCCGTTTCTGATCAAAGGAAAAACTTTTCCCCACTGCACCTCAGAAAATAGAAAACACTAATTATTGATCGGTATAATTTAGTTCAATTGAATTTTTAAGACACCTTTAACCCGATTTAATGGTTAAATAGCTAGCTCTTGTAATGTTTCAAAATAAGGCTTCTTAGAAACCTTTTCAAGACAGTTTAAAAAATGAATTAATTTCGGTTACTTCACTTAAGTAAATTGCATTCCGAATTGAGGAAATTTCTGAGAAAAGTGTTTATTATTTATTTTTTAGAAACGGGAACAGGAAGCAATTCGCTTTCCCCTCTTTTATCAGTAAACGGAAACTGAATCAAGACTGAATGTCTTGTAAACAAAAAGCAAAACGCACTTTTGTCGTAAAAAAAACCACTCAAATATTAGTATGGTCCTACCCACCTGCTTCTCATGTAATTTACCCACACTGAAAAATCTCCGAGTGTCGCGGGGAAAATAAAGTGTGAAGGGAATGTGTTCGTGGGTACAAAAAAAAAAAAAAAAAAAAACAGTTTACTAAGGTCCGCCGCGGAATCTTCTTAGCGACCCTTTAAAGCTCATCTTTGTACACATCGATTACATGCAGACAAAGAACAGAAAAAAAGCAGGGAAAACCCAGAAAAAGAGCAGGGAAAAAAGACAGGAAAAGTCACTTCTGTGTAACATGGTAAGGAAAAGTCAGGGCAGGAAAAACCGAACGCGGAATCGTAAATGATACTCTCGGGAGGAAAAGCGGTTCGCAGGGTGGGCTTATATTTCCGCTTAAAATGGAAACTTAGGCGTGTAGGCGGAATATTAAAGAAGGTGTCTTTAATTCATTTTAAAGATTGTTCAACGGGAAAAGTGAGCCTAAAACAGAAAACTGAAAGCTGAAAGCTGAAAACCCTCATCGCATCATCGCACTAACCAAAACTCATCAGTGGCTGACACTCCCGAAATTGCAGATCGATTTTCTATCCAGCTGGATAATTCAGATACTCAATTAGATATAGTTGAACTCAGTTCTAACATATATCGCCTTCAATCTGGGGGAGAGTGATGTCAACCATTTTCCTGTTTTTCTTTCGTCATTGAGTGTACAACCAATTATCCGCAATCATCATTTTGGTTTAAAAATCGAGATCTAATTGGTAATTTTCTTAATAGTTGAGTTTTAGACTTATGCATGTATTTTACTTTGTCTGTGTTTTTCATTTTCCACACGGTACGTTGTTGTTTTTATTGTATCTAGTTGGTTTTTGGTTTTTATCTAGTTTTTGATGTCGTTGTAAGTTAATGTAGGAGTTTAGAGTTTAGTTTTGGATATCGGCTTTTACGAGGTTTATTAGAAATGATATTTATGCAGTTTCATCGACTTAGTTAGGGCGTTTTGGGTTAAAATTTAATGTTAGGTGTCATTTAATTGAATTATGCGCATTGATGAGGAAACAAATGTGAATGGTTTGCTAGAATATGATGCTGTAGGTTCTCCACATTTCCCATTTCTTGTCGTTTCTACAATTTACTCGCCATAAAAACAGTTTGCCATATCATATTGCGGCCTGATATTTAATGCCAAATCAAATCAGTTACGTAAATTGTTCATTTGGTATGTAAGTGATTGGAAGAACATGACAATCATTTATTAGGTTTTCACTAATATGTTTCTTGGGGCACACACGTTCCGCTAAGCGTATGAATTGCATATATTCTTTCAAGTATACTTAAAACATTATTTTTCTAGGTTATGCAAAAATTTGCTAAAATACAACAAAATAAATATTTCTGGCATATTCGTAAAACAAAAACTCATTTCAATTCGCCCTAAATGTAATGTAAAAAAAATTATAATTTATATTATTCGGGGTTCAATTACTGGACAAAAAAAAAAAAAACAAATCATTGCCAATTCGAATCATTTTGTTGTTCTGCTAATCATCAAAAAGAAAACAAAACAAGCAGAGCTGAAAAACCATCGATGGCAATCTCAAATTTAATAATTATTTTTGTTTTTTATCCAACATTTGTTTCGGCCATCGATTGTTTCTTAAGATCAGATTTACGATATCATATAGCGAGAAGTAAGCTCGAAAAATATATGTTATTCGGAATTTAAAAAGTCGATAGCATATTTCTACGAAAAAAGTTCAAAAATTTGGCAAGCAATAGTTTGCTCTATTTTTTAGCCCTAGTTAAAATTGAAAGAAGAAAAAATAGCCCCTACTAAATTATAGTTTGAATTTAGTAACCTCCCAGCATTTCCCATCAGCGGATAATTTGTATTTAATTAAATATCAATTGGAAAACACCGATGTTTTCCCAGCTCTCCAGGTAAGATATATATTTAATTGTTTTTATATGTTCCCCTACGAATTGTTATGGTTCCCCAGCGAAAATGATTTTTGAGTAACATAGTTTTACTGAACAGGTTGGCAGAACTCCAATACCGGTTTATAGGATAAGCAGTAACAAATTATTTACTTAAAGTCGGTTAAAAACAACACATTTTCGTTGTCCGGGAGAGTTATATGATATTTGGTGTGTCTTATTTACAAGTGTGTGGGGAGTTCTTCTATCCTAATGTGTATTATACTGTGTGAGAATAGTTTTAGTTGGTAGGAAGTATTGCCCAAACAACAGAAGGTAACGTACTACATGTAATCCAACTTAAGTAAAATGAAAACAAATTGAAAAGATGAACAAAATTTTAAGTGTCAGAGAAAATAATAATCTGCGATACGCCTTATGATTTTTCTAAATAGAACCCTGTGTTATGATTGCCCGATCGTTTCTATGATTTATGTTCTTTATCTATCGTTTTCTCTAGTACAAATTACTAACCAAAATTAATGCTATAAAATAAACAGCAAATGTGTTCAAATAAACTGATGTTAATTGTAAATGCTAAACACATCTGCATGCTTGTTCCATCTCAATTAAATAAGTTTTTAAAACAAGGAAACAAACACATTAATGTCTAGTTTATTAATGACGAGGAAACCCACTTTCTCATTTAAATTAAAGAAACAAACAACAACCTAGCCTTTAATGAACTTAATTTTCTGACAACTTGGGTGACTCAAACACAGATTAATTTTGGGTTTTGCATTTACAGTCAATTAATCACCTGCCAAAATTAATCTGCACGTGACTCCTATGAAATTAGTTATTAAATTGTGTCAATTACAGTTAACAACTCCAGGACGACGTTACATTTAATACTTTTCGTTACAAAAAAAATATAAAATAAATAAACAGGCGCTTTAGTTGTATATTGTTACTAACACGGTGCACGAATATATATATATATATATATATTCATATATATGTTTATATCATATGAAGTTATGATAAAACGGCTGACTTACCCATTTTACGTTCTGCAACGAAAAATCTATACTATAATTTCTAAGTAGTACATATATATTCGTGCAATATGTTGGATAATTTTTTAGATTGAACACCGTAGCCACAAATAACATTTAGAAAAAAAAAACACAATGAAATTGAAAGGCTTTTATGTTTGACTCTATTGAAAATGTTCTGATTTTTTTTAAATTTTTATTTACAAATTACCCATAGAAACGATCATGGCAGTAAATCTTAGTTCAGCAAAAACTAAGTTGAAAACTTGGAGCACTTTATTATTATCCCGTACATTTTAAGAATATTTCCTAACCACTAAAAACATTTCTTGAAATGTTTAATTTACTTTGGGAAACTTTGGGAAAGCAAAATTAAAAGTACAAAAAGATTGTGTGTATTTATTAGATTGTTTCATACTCATTTACAACTGCAGAGTTGCACAGTAAAAATATATATATTCAAAATTGCGGAAAAGTTTAGCAAAATAAAAACAGTATAATTATATAGACATTTGCGAAAGCTTAAGAAAGTTCATGTATGTGGAAATTCTGCCACCTTTATTCTTCGTATTCGAAAAGTTCAAAAACAAATCCCTTCCTCTGATTCCCATGAAAATCCGCTCCCACAGCGTTTATTTAATATTCATTACTGCATTTTGTGGCGCAGATGGATAGAACGAAAGTATAAATCTCAATTCATAATAGTGTACTCTTAGTGGTGTTGGTTAAATACGTGTGGGTGATTATGTTTTTTTATTTTTTTTTTCCTTTTTTTTTGAGGGTGTATTTGCGTGGCGCTGGGCAAAGAAAGGATTAAATTGATTTCGCTTGGCAGAAACCAATTTTCCTCGGTCCGATGCTTGACGTATGGAAAAGTCAGGCGGGCATTTGTGTTCCTTCATGCCAACAAGAACGTTTTTTCGCATACATTATGTGGTAGTGGTCCTTGGGAAAAATCTCACTGGCAACAACTTAAACCAAAACCACTTGAATTAATAACAAATCTAAAGCAACAAATCAAAAATAAGTAAGTACTTCAAATATCCCGAATGAGTTTCACACAAATCAAATCGATAAATGTGTGTGTGAATGTTCAAGAGTATTATTTAAATACAAATAAATAAATGAATACAATAAATAAGGAAATAAATATTCAAAATATATCAATTTTTGTCGCTTTAATCGTTTACAAAATAAAACTCCCTACGAAGTTTGTAATTTCATAACAAAATGTATCTACATATAGTAATTCGACTGCAAACAACAGGTATACAAATATTGAAACTTTAAAATACTATTATTTCAATTCATAAAGTTGTGTGCTTGAGTTATTGTTTTCAGCTTGTTTTACTTTGACTGTTTGGACCTTGCATATTAAATAGACATATGCAATGGAACTGTGTATAAATTGGATTGAAAAAGTGCAGAGGATTGGCATAATAAAATATTCAAAAGCTAGTTGTTTTTATTTAAAGTGGCATGCGAAAATAAACAAACAAGTAACTAAAGTTTAAATACCCCATGCTCAATTAATTAAACTTTTTGTGGCTTTCAAATGAATATAAAGATACTGTTTATATTCTGCAAGTTGCAATTTATGTTTTAAAACCAAAAGAAATAAATAAAAAGTGCTACCAAAACAAAAATAAATTATTCTGTGGAGGGAAATATTGTCTTAATAAAAACCCCTTTTACCAACTGTGCAATTCATGCCAAAAAAAAGGTGAAAAAACATGCCCGTTCTCAATTCATTACTTATGTTTATGAGTGTATGTTATTATGCTTCAGCTTGGTTGGGTTCTTTATTTTTGTTTTTTTTTTTGTTTTTCTTCTTTAAGGGATAGCGATGATTTCGTGGGTTTTATTATATGTTGGGAAGCTAAATTTTAGCCCTTTATGTGTGCCCCAATTCACAAAGATACAATTTCTTAACAAGAAAGGCAAAGGATAAAATCAGTGATGGTTCGTTTGGAGGTCGAGACGCCAAAGCTGTGCGGAAAGAAGATTCTTGGATGATATTTGCTGAGTGAGTTTCGAGAGTGCGTTAGTTTAGAGAACTTAGTCAGACGTAGATTGCGAGGGTTTCTTTTTATTTAGTAGTAGTGGTAGTGGTGGAGTTCTGGCCACGATCTACTTACCAAGCAGCGGCACCGCATCGGATGTGGCCGGCATGGTTTCGGCCACCATGTTCAGGAAGACTGTAAGCGATAATAGAATTGTTACTCCTGAAAGTAAGCAGCACAAGGATAAAGCGCCACTCAAATTTGTTTTTTTTTTTCGTTTTTCGTTTTTTTTTTTTTTTTTTGCAAGTCACAGGATGAAGAACAGAAGCGGCATGGAATAAGATCAAAGTTTATGTTGTTAGTCATTTTAGTTAAGTGAAATCTCCAACGATATTTACACATTAAATTACGTGCACTATTACGATTACGTTAACAAAATGGTATTGTATTGTATTTTGGGCCAGTTAGTTTGCTGCTGATTCTGATGCCGCTGATTTCGACGATCCAGAATTGTCGCTTCCATTTCGTGGCACTTTCGTGGCCTTCAATAAAAAACTACTACCGTATTTTCTGCGCTGAACCTCAACCCCTTTAGCGATATGAATTTAGCAGGCTTTTACTCCCTAAAAACCCTTCTTAAACTTGGCACGAACTTATATAATATCCGTGTAAATGTATGAAACAAAAATAAGGAAACATTTGCAGCCTGATTTCAGGATTGAACCTATGATTTTATTTTGTATAATTAAGGTTTAAGGTTGAAGTTTCCAAGAGCCCAGCTTATAATATTATATATTTTGCATACAGCCTAACAAATAAATAATTTATTATTCAGTTTCAGAAAAGTTTCCTTATCTTCATAACACATATTATTACGAATCATAAATAAGAGTACCACTAACATAAAATCATAAATCGAGCATTGATTTTACTTTGCCTGAGCTTTTGCTGTTTGTAGCATTTAAAATATATCTAAGATAGAGTAGGAAGAAATCTTTTAGAGCAGTAGTTTTTTGTTTTGGTTTTTTGGCTAGAATTAGTTGCAGAGCATGCAAAAGACAGATCTACATTAAATTCGAATAGATACTCCAGATGCATTAGCATGTCTAATAACGAAAGCAAACAAGATTTAAAAGAAGGTAGCATTTTGTTTGTATTGTTTTGTAACTTGCACAATCTCAACTACTAGTTATGTAATTCGTATCGATCTAAACCCGAATCGGTATCGAATAGGTACATATTTTACTAATACGATTGATTAGTTTTTGTGAACACACAGAGAGAGAGAACGATAGAGAGATAGAGATAGAGATAGATAGAAGGGCGGGGCGAAGGGGGAGGGCAATCAGGACTGTTCGGAAAAGATCTCAGAACAGTTCAAAGAGAGAGCAAGAGAGAGAGAGAGCAAGAGAAAGTACCGTAAAACCGGAGGCGGAGGAGAACACTTACCAAGCGAAAGCTTCTCACCAGAATCTGGTGGCAGTGTAAACCCTAGCAGTGCCATCGAGGCGATCAGTACGCACGGCACGATCAGATTGAAAAAATAGTACAGTGTCTTGCGTCTGATCAGAATGGCGAATGTTATGTCAATATAAGGTTCTGGGCAGCAATTATAGTAGATTTCATTTCGTTTACCGGGCACACCTGTTTGTCGTAGTTTTGTAGTTTTCAATATGTATTTTTTTTTTTCATTTGAAAGATGTAGGTTTTATTTTTTGGTGAAAGTGATATACGATTCGTGGATGGAGTAGACAAGAAAATATTGTTTGGGAAATTAATAGATTATTCTGTTATTAGCACAACACCTAAGGCAATAATAATAGCTCATATTTTAAGAGGGGAATAACTAGGTTTTAGTGGGTTTAACTTACCTAACAAGTCCCATTCGCCATTCGTTATAAAACTAGAAATATCCCCTCCTGCTTCGTCCTGTAATTGCAGGTCCAACTGGCCCAATAGAAAATAAACAAAATTAGGGAGTCAAATAATGTTAAAATAATTGAAAGCAAGTTAAGAAATGTAAATAAAAATGTAGCATACTTTTTTGGGTGTTTTATCTTGTGAATAAGTATTTTGTTTTAATTACTTACCTGAAAACCATCGTAGGTCCACGAACCAAACTTCATCTCGCATCTTTGATCGTCGAATGGAAACCACGTAATGTCGATCTTACACGTAGACTTGAATATTCCCGGTGGCACATACAGGCAGCTCCCATTGTTCCGCACCACAACATTTGTGGCATACGTTCCATCAAAGCCCTCGTCCGCACTGAAAAAAAAGAATTGAATTAGAGGGTGTAGGAAATAATACATATAACAAGAATATAATCAAGAAAAAAGTGAAAACTATATAAATAATTATAATGAGGGGTTTATTACCTGTTGTACATTAAAACATCCGGTTTCCATAAGCGATGTGGTGGAATCCGCAGATCGCGTACACCTCCAAACTCGCTGGAATTCCAACGAAGATTCATGTCATTCCACTCCTAAGATAGAGGAAATACATATTAAACCTTCAACACAAATTATAATAACGCTTGAAACTGTATAAAATGCACACAATATTCTACAATTCTTTGAAATTAAATGTATTATTTAAATACAAATATATTTTTGAGATACTTATTGAACAATATCTTACCAATTTGAGCCAAATATTTGTTATAAGCAGTTGGTTCTTTTCATCCTGCAAGAGAGAAAACGAAATAAGTCTAGAAGTTTTCTAGTTGCAATTAAATTAAATAAGAATTTTCTGTTTTAAAAAAAGTGTTGCCTACATATAAGGGCAAACTTGTACCTTATTTATTTCTAAGATATTTGTTGAGTATTCTCTATTTAACCTACCACATCGATAATCTGCATGAGTGTTAGTCCGAAGCTCAGTTGTAATGGATCGGATTCGTTGACCACCGGACGTTCTAAACTGTTGTAGTTGTCCAAAAGGGCGTGCAGCAATCGCTTCTCATGGGGGCCAGCCGTACAAGCTATAAGCACAAAACAATATATTACAATGAATAATAAAACTTAAGAAAAAATAATTAAGACAAGAATAAACAAGGATATAACCTAAAATGATGGGGTACAGCCACATACAAAAATACGATTAACTTTAAAAGAGAATTAAGTTCGAAATAAGGAAATGGCAAATTGAAAAGGTTCCCTTGAATGTTTGTATCTTTTCTTAGGATGTTCATAGAACCAACAGGGAAAGTGAACCATTTTATAGAGTAAACTCTCCTGCTTCTCACCTGGTATCATAATTAGAAGTCCCAGTCCGTAGACCAGCATCTTGCCGCCATTCGCAGGCGCATCCGGCAAATTGTGCGGCTGTGGGAAGCTCATCTTTGTGTCCCGATTTGGGCAGAGTGGATTGTCCGACCGACTGTGTGATTGCTTCTTCGTCATATCCTGCTTAACCTTCCGATTCCGGAACTGAGAGCCCAGAACCCCAATCCGAATCCCAGTCCGAATCCAAATCCAGATCCGTATCCGATAATCAGATATATAACCGCAGGCGGTAATTAGTTTATTTCAGCCATTCCATCCATTAAGTTGACTTCCATCGTTTCGCATTATGTTTGTGGTCCGGCAAAATGGTGTTGTGGATATCTACATATATATATATATTCTTATATATATATATATATGTTATGTGTGTGTATATAGAAAGCCCTAGGCAGTCGGTAATTGAATTTTGGATACTGCCAGGAGTACTTCTTCGTACGCAGTCGACCAACTTTTTGGCGGCATTGACTTTCTTCTAATCAAATGCTTTTCGTTAGCTTTCCTCGGCTTTTGATTGATTTCCCATTTTCGGTTCGTCTTGCAATTAGTTTCGCTCCAATATGTTCTGATTGTAGATTCCTCTTTCCTATTCACAACAGTTGCGAAATGTATTTATGCAGCGATACATTTCTGACAGTCTGTAAAATAAACATTAAACATCGCTTATTTAATCGTATTAAATGGGTTATTTGTGCAGTACAGATATACAGAAATTCATAAAGCATTCAAATTAACGCCACAACACAGAGTTTCGAGTTAAAAATAATTGTTTCTTCCACACTTACCATTATCCTGAAAACAAACATTTCTGATGATTTCAATCTGACACTTTCCCAAACTTCAGCGAAACCCAGCATAATTCATTTAAAAATATTGTTTCTTAGGTTTTTATTTTATTTAATAACGATTTCGAACGTAAATACATTCACAGATTAAAAGGTCAAGTTACATAGCAATAGCAAAAACAAAATACAAAGTAATATAACGTTTTTTTTTATTATTATTATAGTTTTATCCTTATACTTTGCAAATTGGATACGTTATTTCCCGTACAAATTGTTTTCCGTAAGATCTACCCAAATTTTGTGGCTCTGCAATAAAGATCTGTAAGAATGCATATGATAAATATTTAGTGGGTATTTAAAAATTACAAATAAAAGTTTATACGTTAGGCTAATAACTATAGCTGAACTATATAGAAAAAAATTATTTATAAGAAAACAAGTTGCTTGCCAACCTTCTAAAAATGCTATGTCCTAATGAAGCATACTAATAATTATTAATTATTATTGCAGGCATAAAAATTATTATTAGTGCAGATGAAGCAGTGAGACATATTATTTTTCGATCACAAGTTTACCTTGCAATAAATTTTATTGCTAAGCCGATTTCTTCAATGTTACTGGCTTACTTTAGTTTCACTAATCAGGTCCAGAATTATTTTATAATAGTTTCAGAAATCTCTTCCAATCTAAATGCAAGTCAAATTCAAATCATTATGCCCCAATGACTCTTTCACATTGAGTAAAAGTTCTAGAAAAAACAAAAGATTGATTTTAAAAAACTTAAATATGGCTTTTTATGACAGATTGAATTTAACTTTATAAAAAGATCTTGGTCTAATCTATTAGTGAAAATAATATAATACTTTAACCAGGAAATGATTGATTAATGAAATTCAAAGTCTCGAAAATTGTCGATTAAGGCGGAAAATTGTTATATTATACATCAAATGTTGGTTGTAATGAATTTTATAATTTTTTTTTTAAATACAAATGGCCTTTAATGTGATTACCTGCCATTTAAGTTTATCCATTCAGCCATGCAAAAGAAAGCAATCAGCAGCCAGCGATATAAATCTATATAACAAATAAAAAATTAAATAATATTTTTCTATCACTTACCTTTGAATAATTACTTTTTACATCTATTTCACTTTTCACATTAAAAAAGGGAAACCACAGCCGCGAATTCAAATGCAAAACTTGTAAGTATTTCTTGGAAGAGATTTCTGGGACCCTCTCTACATTTTCAAAATCAAAAATATACTCTCAAAAATAATTATGACTTCTGCAATTCCTCCTTTTTTGAAACAAATAGTTGCTTTGCTTGGTTTGTTTTGTGCAGAATCCTCATCGCAAGTTATTTTAAATTCAGAGTTTGAATATTGTGGAAAAGGAAAACAATCAGGGCATTGTTAATGTTTTCTGTTTTCTGTTTTCTCATATTTTTAGTTTTTCTTCTCATATTTGCGAACTGGCCAAACCGAGCCGCCTTCTATTGTTGGTCGTACTTTCTGTTTCGAATGTGCCAAGTTTAAGTGTTTCTAAAAGTCTCTGTGTGTGTGTGTGTGTGTGTGTAAGGGTGTGGGGGTGTGTGTGTGACTGGTTGGTTTGGCTTGTTTTTGTGCTCTGCAAATGAAAAGCAGTTGGGTGGGGAAAGGGGGAAAACACACACTTAAGCCCTGTTCGTCGCACGTTGGGTTTTTTAGCCGTAAAGTGAAAGTATGTAACAGGTAGAAGAAAGAAGGAAGCGCATAAAGTATCTTTAGCCACACTTCCCGCACTTGCACTCGTAAAGAGGTATTTTTATTTTGGCCCCTAAGTTCGGATCCGATATCTACCTATTTACCAAAAAAGTTGTGCGTTTTATGCCGCGCCATAAAGTTGCCGAACTCATTGGGCCGCAGTTAATTGGGAAAAAGTAGTCATTAAATACAGAGCAAAAACTTGCCGGAAAAGAAATGCGCTCGAGTTCTGACATTTATTCAACGCAAAGTAATTGAAAACTTGTATGAAATATGCACCAGAAATGTTTTCAGGACATCGATTCCCCAAATGTTATTGCCTTAAATATTTCATTTGAACTTTACAACTTGAGATAACTTTGTCTATTATTTCCCAAATTGATTATTTTTATTTCAAAGTGCAGATAGACACTGCCGCTCGTCTTAACGAGCATTACTTTGGTGATTAGGGAGATAATTGCCTCAAACTTTGATCGTTGCCCCTAATTACACTTGGCTAATGTTGAAAGTAATTTGTTTTTCGGTACTCACCAGTCATAATATTAGCATAGCTGCCTATTTATCTGTAGCTCCATTTGAGTTGCAATTTATTTTGCTTCGTTTGGTTTCCGGTTTTTCTTCTTTTTTGTTTTGTGAGAAAAGTTTCGCCTCAAAATCGCACTGAGGCAGGTGATTAGTTTTCGAAAACTGATGAATCGAATCGCAGGCAATCGGAATCGCAAATCGGTTGCACTTGGGGCAAGTGTTTTATTCCATTACTGACCGCTGATTGCTCGAGGAACTCAACGCACCACTCAGTCATGGCGATATACTATATATTCTGCCACACTCAAACTTATTTCGAAAAAAAAAAAAACAAAAAATATAGGTACTTAGATAAGTATGTGTTACACCTTCAAAAAAGAAAAAAAAGTCGATCGCTTTGATTTCATGTAAACATTTTGCGTCACGTTCGCAGATTTGGATTTCGCACTCGTTTCGCACTCAATATTAAATCCGCACGTTCTTCGTCTTCCTGTTTGTTGGTTTATCTGTTTGTTTGTTTGTTTGTTCGCTCGCTTGTTTGTTTGTTTATTTGTTTGTTGGTTTGTGCTTCCCTGCTCGACTAACTGACTGGGCTGTATACTGACTGACTGGCAATATATTTATTATATCTTATTTCAACTCGATTCCCTTATCATCTTGTCTCGTGTTGTTTTTTTGGCGAGGGAGTTGCTCGACCGATTCGCTCACGACCACGCACTCGACTGAACGACTGAAGAACGACGACTGTGATAGCAAGAGTCTCCTCCGATTCCGATTGCGCGATGCCGCAAAAATATATAGTGGGAAAAGCCAAGCAGCCAAACAGCCAAACAGCCAAACAGCCAAAGAGCCAAAGAGCCAAACAAGAACCACAAGAAGAACAACTAGAAAAGCATTTCGCTTTCGGCGGAAAAGTGTGTGTGTGGCTTTGTGTGTGTGTGTGGAAAAGTGGAGACGGCCGACGAGGAACGCGGAACGCTCGACTTTCCAACTGCAACTGAGGCTGCGACTCCTATTCCGTTTTCAGAATCCAGCGATTCCGACACGTGGCGCGCCGCCTCGGTCCTTCTGACCTTAAACGAAGGATAACATTTCCCCATCGTATCCTTCGGATACATTCGCTGCCGTTCGGCTGCCGCTGTTAGCCATCAGAGGTTTTTTTTTTTTCGAACAGCGGACGAGGAAACGCGCACGCCTTTGCCGGAATGTTGTGAAAGGTAAACAAATAAGGAGGCGCACCAAACAAGCGCCTTGTTGTTGATAAAGTCCTGCCGATTCCGATTCAGATTCCGATTCCGTTAACATTTCGGATGCAGCTAAAAGCCAACAGCCAACAGCAAAGCAGCTAAAAGCCAACTGCTAGCAGCTGAAACCACGTGGTGTCCTCCCTTAGCCTTTTGTTGTCACGGCAGTGGAAGCGCTAATGGAAAGCTGGTTAATGGCCAAGATTGATGGCCGGCTGGCCTGCTGCTAAGCACTCCTGCTGCTGCTGCTAATACCTGTCATTAGAGCTTAAAAGGAAGAGGAACACTGGCTTCACTGTGATTGACAAACTAAGCATTCATTTTTAATGAAATACATTTTTGAATGAATTTTTAATGAATGAATAAGCGTCTGTTTTTGATGCCATGCTGCGGCAGCATAACTTAACATTGCCGTCAGGGGCAAGTCGCCTTTCTGTCAACTCTTCAAGGCTACAATACACTCTGAGAAAATAGCACTAAATAAATCAATACAATATACAATATTTTCTATTAGCAAAAAAACCATAAAGCTTTTTATTACAAATGGGTTACTAAAAATAGTACACATACTATTTTGAATAGAATTTTATAAATCAGCAAAATACCTTCAACGAGTAAAGATTCAAATGCCAATTTTGTTTTCAGGTTTCATTTTATGAGAAAACTTTTTGACTGATAATATATTTGTAATATCTTCCTTCTTTTTTCTGTGTGTAGTGTACCACAAAGAATTTCCCCTGAAAGCAGTTATACTCAGAATCCACAAGGAAATGGGGAAAGAAAGCACAGGTACCATAATAAAACTTCCCCCAAAAGCTGTTATACTCACTTCCCAACTCGCAATAATCCTGGCAAAAACGCCATAAGCCATAATTCAAACTTCTCACCACCACCAAAAAATGTGCAATAACCTGTACTTTTACTATAACGAAATACAAAATACACTTTTCCCATAAAATATTATATCGAAAGTCCCAAAAAGTTTATTTCTTAAATCCTTGTTCAACAACTTCCTTAGCTTGAGCTTTTGAGCGATGTTAAGCTTGAAAAAACTGACACATTTCCAAGTTTTCAAATAAAAGGAAACTTAAATTCCGATTACACAACCCAAACAATTCTTATATTTATTCACGAGCCGCAGAGCTTTTGGAATGTTTATTCGATGCAAAAAGGATGCAAGGATTGATGTAAGTAACGTAAAGTTGAAAGTGTTACATATAAACAGTTACAGTAAAATGTAACGTTCCGATTTCTATTCATTTTTTAACAGTAAATATCAAAAGTAGATGTCGCTTGCATTGAGTGAAATAAAAAAAATAATAATCAGCAAAAAATACATTTGCTCTAAAGTGACAAAATTCCAGCATTTCTAATGCCTTACCTTTTTTAATATTTATTCTTTTTCTTTTACGTTTCTTGACACTTAATTCTGCATACCAGGTTAACAATTTCCTTCCGAAAACTGTACAAATTTTTTGACGTCAATTTTCGCCTGTTTTTAAAAAAATGTATTTTAAAATATAAACATTAATTTATTGATTTACTAACGTTACTGTGTTTTTATTCGCAGTGTAGTTAATATTTGTTTGCTGTTGCTGTTCGGTTGCAGCAGATGATAGATGGGTATTCCGGTCGATCAAACATGTTCGCTTAAGTTCGCCTGGGTTCGATTTGACCGTTTCGGTTGGAGCCGCTTAAGCGCTCCATTTGGATTGCCAACGAGCTCAGGTTGGGGTTGCAATTGGGCGCCAGTCGCCCTTCAACGGGGAACAAAACGTCTTTAACAACGCCACTGATATTTAAACGATGCAACTGGCATCTTCGGAGAACACGATCGGGAAAGCGCCACTCGGGCCAAGGCGGCAGAAAAGATAAGCTGGATGCCTGGTGTGATTCATGGGTGGGTTGTGAGTGAATTGAGGTTGGCATCCAGGCTCTGTCTCAGTAAAAGTGTTATTGTGTGTAAAAAACACAAAATAAATAAACATATTGCGGAACGTCAGATATGCTGTATTTTTAGCAATATTCATGTTTGCTTAACAAAAAATAAGTTGTATTTAACTTCACTTTTTTCAGCTCACAAGTGAGGATTTTTTTGCAGTTTGTAGCTTGCAGCATTTTCAGTCTATCGCATCCTCAAGATCGAAATCGATTTGTCGCGGTTGAAGAACAAACTACTTCATTCTGGTTTCCTACTCACCAGAGTTTTCCTTTTTGGCCACCAGCGCTTCATCTGCGCGATCGTTCTTCTTGTTCTTCTAATTTATTCCGATGCAACGTTGTTGAGCGCCCCTCTGCCGGTGTTCGAAAAACGTTGCATCGAACATTTCCGTCGAAACATGTTCGGTCGAGTGGAACGCTGTCCAACAAGTAGGAAGCGAGTTTCGAACTGGTCTCTGCCTGCCTGCCTGCGCTTGTCTGTGCGAGTTTTGTTTTGCGTGTGGAGTCGTCGAGTACGAGAGCATTTGCGTTCGCATCGTTGCCGGCCAAAAAGTCGCGGTTAGCGAAATACGAAAAGTTGAGTTCGAGAGTGTCGGTGTTCCGCCGCGTAAAAAAAAACAAACACGCGGGTGTTTTTGCGGCTATTTCGAGTGCATTTATCATTCTTTTTTTCGGTTACTTGCAAGTGAGCGTGATTACCCCCTCCAACTCCCCCGTCCCGTACCCAAAAGCGATTATATTTGGAAAGCACCGCGGAGAGCGGAGTGAGAGAGAGCGGATCAACACAAAGCGAGGTAAAGAGAGCAGACGAGAGAGTGCATAAGAAGGAGAGAGAGTGCAAGTGGTTGTGTGTGCGTTTTTATGACTGTGTTGGTGTACCCGTTGAACCGGTTCGACACTCATCTTCTTACCTGCAAAAACAAAAACAACAACAACAACGGCGACGGCGTAGTGTGCTTGGAAAAACATGGAAACTGAAGCAAAATGCAGCATCGCCAGCAACAACAACAATAACGACCACAGTTACAACAACAAAGTGCAGCTGCAGCAATTGTAATGTCAAATGAATCAAACGGACTGCATCATTTGCGTTTCCGAAAGAAGAAGAAAGGAAAAAGGCAAACGCAGCGAAAACAAAAATATGATGTGAAGTGTGTGCAGGCCGAAGCCATTAACCCCAAAAGGCAGAAAAGGGCATCATCTGCCTGACTTGGTGATCAGTGAAAGAAAAAAAACGAAATTTGTTCAAATGAAAAGATTCAACAAAGTACTTCCCAACAGCTCAGTTTTCAATTAATTTAATTTTCATTTTCTTATTGGTGATTTAATGTCTTCAAGTGGTCGACTTAAAAACCGTGTTCTAAACAGACGGCGCAAAATAAACAAAGACATAACCACTGGTGGGTTAATCCACTACCTGCGCTGCCCAAGGGTTAAGCACTCACTCGCGTGTAATTGACGTTGCCAAAAAAATTAAGAAAGAAAGAAAAACAAACAAACAAACAAAGAACAAGAGGACAAAGCACGAACAACAGAAATTAGAAGACAAGAAGACAGAAAACAGAAGGGAAAAACTTAAGCGAGAGCAGAAAAGCCCTTGTTTTTTGTTATTTTTTTGTTTTTACTTTTTTTGTGCAGTACAGTTAGTCGCCAGTGGGACTGTCGAAGTGTGCGTGTGCTGCGGGTGTGGTTTAGTTAGTATTGGTGTTTGCGTGCGTGTGTGTAAGTTGGTGTTTTTGGCGCGGCACTTTTTTTTTGTTGTTTTCATATCTTGTGGACGAATGAGAACTGCAGGCAAAGTAAAAAGAAGAGCGAGAGTCAAGGAAAAACTAAAAACAAAGCGATTAAGCAGAGCACTCGCACGCATACGCACGCAGGCAAACCAGGAGATTGGAATACTGCGGCCTAGGAAATTGGAGCTCGAAAAACAAAAAAAAACCAAACGTACCAATGGGACATCCAGAAATACCCTTATTGTACACCCTCCCCATTTGACATTCCTCAAGACCCCGACTTATGATCATTCTAATTTTCAGGATACTTTATTTTTTTGGGGTGACACTCAAAAATGATTTCAATATCCTATAGATATGTATGTATCCTGGAAATTTGAGAACGTTCTCAGGGGTCTGGCGTGTTAAGAAATGTATCCCAATTGGTTTTTGATATTATAACCGGAGGAGAAGTTTTTTTTAAGTGTTTACCAATTTTTTACAAATTTTTGATTATTGGCAAACGTATAAGATATTTAAGAGATAGCTGCAAAACTATAGATTTGCCAATGAATGAAGATTGTATTTCAGGTTAAGGTAAAAGGAACTTAAGGTACTTAAATTTAAAATAACTCCATTGTCTTTTTGTTGACAGACGTGAATATTTACACTTAGTATTTGTTGGTCCCAAAGAAATGAATTGGATTTTTTTCCTAGAGGATAGTTACAAGTAAATGTTATATCAATTTTAGGTGGATACATCATAGTCGCTGCATTAAATTCTTTGTCGGTCTTCTACATGCTTGAGTTCTCCGAGTTTTGGTTTAGATTTCGGAGTTTGGGTTAGCTGTAGTTAAGTCTAACGTAGGTAGCGATTACAACAACCAAAGTGGCAACAACCGCAGAAACAGCAACGGTCACTTCGTCCACAACAACAACAACAACAACAGCAGAAACAACGGCAAAGACCACAAGAGCAGCAACAACAACAAAAGCAGCAGCTATAACAACAACCAGAGCAACCACTTCATCGAAAACTCGTTTTGACAACAATTATGGCCCAAGCGGAAAGGCAGAGCTCCTGAGTCCGGAGTTTCAAATAAAGTTGGGGCCAAAAGCGCACAAAGAGAGGCTAAAGCTGAAGCTGAAGCTGAGAAGCTGAAGTTTCAACTGAGTCTGTGTTTGCAGATGAAGGATTGCTTATGGTTACTGTGTTACTGTTTGCCTCGTTTTTTGTATTTTTTTTTTTGGCGTTAAGACAGTACAGCTTGACCATCTTTCGGCTTCTTTCAGATCAAAACCACGCGATAATAATAGCTCAAGAAAACCAGCTTCAGCTGCAAAAATTTGGTCAGCAAAAGCAATCGTTTAAACCAGGGGGCATTAAAAGTTCCAGATAAGAGCTCAAGAAACCAACTGAAACTTTTGTTTTAGAACAGTGAATGCGTCATCTTTCATGTCTGCTTGTCAACATTAAATCCTTAGACATTTATGAACCGATTGAAAACTTTTCGGAAATTCATTTAAGTACAATTTTAACCATGAATCACTCCACATCGAAATAATGCGAGAAACGTGCACATCGTCAAATATATGTTGACGCATTATGTCTGCCCAAAAAATGTGTGAAAAAGATGGTGCTTTCAGAAAAACGGTGAGACATGCATGCTACACTGAACTTAAAAAACAATTCAGTTTTTGCCACGACAAATTCCCAGGATGTGTGACTTTATTGGAAAATTTTTTTATGAAGTTAATTTAAAATCAAATTGTCCGCTGCTGGAGGCGTCCGAAAAAGTAATTGAAAACTGTCCAGGCCAATAATGGTTTCAATGATTGTTAAATAAAAACCTTTTAAACGAAAATTGTTTTCCATTTTACATACGGTTTGAAAAAAAAAACTGAATCAATTGCATAAAATGTAAAAGCCACAGTTTGTTTAAGTTTATTTAATGTTACTGTTATTTAAAGTAAATAACAGCACAACAAAGCTATTAAAATAGCTGAATGAAATGAAATCTTTAGGAAGGAGATAACTCATTATTTATGCTTTATTGAAAAGTTCCAGTTGCGAGAGATTATTTTTGTAGTTGATAAATGGGGTACCTTTATGCTCCAGAAATAAACGTTAAATCAACAAACTAGAGCACAAAAGCTCAATAAAGGGCGATAAGTCAAAATATATACATAAACTGAATAGATAACGCTGTATGTGTATGTTTTCCATTCACGTCGAAAGGGGGGTTTCCCATCCCCCATTCTCCAATATCTATTTACCTTTGAATCACATGGTTTGTTTTTGTTTTTCCCGCCAACCTTTCATGCGGTTTTTGCATTATTTCGGCTTCATTATTGTTTTTTGAACTGCCAAATATTTGGTTGTTTTGCCAGTGTTTTTCTTTTTTCCGCCTACGCCTCTGCTCGCAGTTCTTCGCTCTTCTTTGCGGCGCTCTTCATCATTGTTTACTCCTTTTATGCCCTCCATTCTCTCTCTGTATCTCTTTTAACGACTTCGGTGCCTTTTCATGATCACTTCAAACCCAGTTCGAGTTCGATTCAGAGGTGGAGCTTGATTTGGGGCTCGAGTTCGAATTGGAGGGCTGGCAGCTGCGGTTTGAAAAATGTTTGAATTCACAAGAAAACAATAGCACTTTTCAAAATACTTTTTCAAAGTCGAGCTAAACCAAATCTACCCTATTTTTAAAAACAACCCTGAATTCAGTGTTCAGCTAAACAATAGGAACATTTATACATCCTGCAGCGTTCACTTCAATATGCTGAAAAACATCGTTTGACTTCGAACATGTTCGCTCGAACACAGTTCAAATCTCTTTGTTTGCTATAGCACACTCGAAGAAATTTTAAAAGAAGTCGTGAGCAAATATGTTGTTTTAACCTAAAAAAATTGATTTCTTTATTATGGCACAAACTAGAAGATATATCCCATAATATATTTTATTAAACGACGCTATATCTCGTTTGAAGAAAAAAAACTTTTTAATTTTGAAGTTTAAGTAATGTTTTATAAGGCAAATGGCAAAATGGATATTAATTGTTAAGAGTCAAGTGTATTCCCCTACTTCTACTTGAAATTATATCCGCTCTACATTCACATTAAAGTAATTAGGCCAATATAATTGCTTGAATCAAATGTCAAAAACTTGTATTTGTAAAAAACTGCCTGGAGCTAACTTTTCTCACACTTCGCATATTTATTATTAATTACCGAGAGGCAGGTAAGCGCGATTTTCTTTATACACAAGCCCATACACACACGCATTGTTGGACACGCATCCACAATATGTGCATGTATGCATGAATATACGGAAAATCAATTAAAACTTTTAATTGAAAGAAAGATTTAAGTGAAAATACAATTTTTTTTGCCCCCGTTCGTCAGCTCATTTAACTTATCTCTGCCCATCTCAGCCAAAATCTCTTCAGCGCAGATTTAACTCAACTCGACAAAGTTAAAGTCTACGGAAGCAATTTTATAGGTGGGTTGTATATTAGGCACCTAATGAGGATACTTGATGGTACTTGACGTTTTGGGGGCCCGGATAAAAATACTCATTTAAGCCGCAAGAGGGTACTTTTTCCGGATTATTAATTACAATCAATAAAAAGCAAAGTAATTGAAGTATTTGATGAAAACCTATCCTTGTATTCTTAAGCAAAGTGCTTTTAAAGGAATCGAAAAGGACAACCTGTTTCCACATCGAACACCTAACTCGGAAAACATCGTTAGTTACTCGAAACTAATTGAGTTCGCTAGTGCCAGTCAAAGTGCACAAAAATACCTTGTGTTCTAATTAGGGCTCAGCATCAGCATTCGCTACATTACCGAAAGAAGTGCACCCAACAACTATGAGTGCACTCGTGGAACGCTTGCCGTGAAATGAGGATACGGAATGAGGAGTTCGAAAGCGCACTAAAAAGCGTTTCACGTACCTGTTACTGCTAGACTAGAAATGGTTTATTGTATTTAAGCAAAGTATGCCATCGTGGCTTACAAAACGTTTTAAGTATGGAAAAAATAAAGTTAAGGTGTCTTTTATTCAATTTTAAAGCAACAATCCACTTGTAAAATATACTTTTATAACAATTTCTTTTGATTTTTTGCAGGCTTACTTTGATGTTGTTAAATGTACTGCTTACACATGCAGTTTACTCGCAGAGAAACACTAAATCTTGCCAATAATTGGATTTATTTGAAAAACTTTGAAGATATCTGAGATGCTGAGCTGCTCCATAACCAAGGTAAATATATTTTTATAGATATTTATAGGCCTTGTAAATAAGATTTACTTTACTTTGCTTTACTTAAAATACATTTCAATGTTTATTTAATTGGTTGGTATAAAGTTATAACCCCATTGTATCATTTTTTGATGAGAATTGCCGGAAATCAAATCATGACCTATTGACCCTGAGCCAATCTCACATTTCTATACTCCATGTGAGGTTCGCCACATCCTACTGGCTAATTATGGTAAACTTCCCATGTGTTTGCAGGTAATAAACGATGCTAATCCAGGCAGCTTATATATTTATGTGGGTACATAGGCAGGAATACATATGTGACATGGCCTTATCAAACGCATGATATCGCCTGGCAGGCAGACTTGTAATTTTTAAATTCGAATTACGTGCCATGCCTACTAAAACGACATTATTGAACCAACTGGCGGTGGCGGAGGAGAACTAGGCACCAGGCAAGTGCCTACGAAAACGTTCTCAAAAACAAGGACACTGGCGGACTGGCGGTGTGGGGGCGGCTTAAAGGCAAGAGCAACAAGCTTTTTGCTTTTTTTGGGACAGATTTGGAGCATTCCGAGAGATGAAGGGTTCGCTTTCCGTTCATTTCGTTTCAGTTCAGGTTCAGCTTGGGTTTGGTTGGGTTTGGGATTGTGTGGCACCAACTTCCCAGGAGCCAAAAATGTTTTTGGAAACCCCAACGCTTCTTTTGATGGCATTGCCTCTGGCAGCTTCTCGGGAAAACTAAAAAGGGAATGACTTAGAACATGCTGTTGTTAAGGTGTGGTGAAATGGCTAAAATGGCTAAAATGGGTAAAATGGGGGAAGACCCCCGAAATTGAACAGAGAAGAAAAATTACATTACTTATTTAAAATCCATGGGCGAAGAAACAATCAACTGTGGCAAACAACAGATGTCATCTTGGGGGACAGATGGCAAGGCTTAACTTTTAAACACCTTTTATCACACACACACAGACACATACACACACACACACACACTGATACACCCAAGGGCACACATTAAATGTAATTGACTTGGAATTATGTGTGAAATATACGAATTGAGTCTTATTAAAAAGGGTTTTGAGCACCAAACAATATTAAATGCAGTTAGATTGGGAGACCCCTCAAATGTTAATCAACTTTCTCGTTAATATAAAAATTATTCGTACAACAATTATAAGAACAAGACAAATTCGGACATATGTTTGTATATGTATCAGTGGAATATATAAACATAATACAGTAGAATCCTGTTATAACGACTCCGCTTATAGTGTCCGTCCGGGTATTGCGACGAAAACTCGATGGCTTGATTGGTCCCCAGACAGACTTATACACTTAAATTTTTCTGCTTAGTGCGTCTTCCGGGTATAACGACGAAAACTCGTCGGTCCCTTGAAAGTCGCTATAAGCGGATTCTACTGTACATGCTGAAGCACGAAAACAGAAGGAACCAATTTTCGATGCACGTTGAATAGAATATTTTTTCTTTTCGATTGAAATGTATGGACTTTATGGGGTTGGAAACACTCGCCTTCGCACATTGAGTACTCGATATAAGGAACACAAAAACCAAAAAAAAAAAAAAAAAACAAAATACAAAATGCGTCGTCAAGATGTCTTCGTTTGGGGTGAGTTCGCCAGTTTTCGAGGGTGGATTGTTGCACATTCCACTATATTTTATATAAATACTTATCGCATATATACTGTATACATATAAAACTGAATCGAGACGGACTGGCGAACCCAGTCTCCCAAATTCATAATGCAAACCGCACGCGGCGATTGGAAATTAATGAAATTTTATATAAGAGTCCAATCCAAATTGAAGTATGAATGAATGGAATGGATGTGTAAATGAATGTCTGCCCGCCCGCCTCATTCGATATATATACTATATATGGGTGTGTGTGGGAGGTGGGAAAGGGGGTGGGGAGGGGGCGGGGGCATTACAAAAGGGAGCAGGATGAAAACGGAACTCCATTACCCCCGTGCTTGGAAAAATTGTTCTTTGGGGCTAATGCGAAATTTGTATGCAGTCCAAACAACGGGAGTCATTTCTTTTGTTTTGCTCCGCTTCGCTTTTCTGTCCTTTGTGTTTTTTTTTTTTTTTTTTTTCGTTTTTTTCTTTCTTGTATTTTGCTTTTTGTTTTTCGTTTTCAGTTTTTGAATTTCCCTTCTTATGGTTTTTTTGTTGTTGTTGTTGTGCGAGCCTATTTCGTATTGGGGCACTTGGCGTTGAGAAAAATAACAATCAAATGTAATGTTTGCCAAAGAGACGGCGTCCACCAGGAAATTAGAAATGCCCTCGTCTTCGTCTTGGTTGGAGTCACTCAAAAAAAAAAAAAAAAAAAAAACAAAGCACCCACTGCGATTCACAAAGAAGTTACCTTCAGCGTAAATACTTTCTGTGCTTAAATTTCGTTAACATGTTATTGACGCCATCCAGACGAACTTAATTAGCACGTGAAAAAAATATTAAGTGCTGCAAAAATCAGAAACTATTACAGCTAAGTAGCATTATATTGTGAAATATTCAAGGATAATAGGAGATTCCAGCCTGTACGCTTTTGATTGCCACATCAAAAACTCGTTCATAGCCTACATATGTTTAATTTTTTATCATCTTTACGCATTTTTTTTCCTTTACTGGCGGTTAAGGAATAAGCACAACAAATGGCCTGTTGGCGAAACTGAAAAATGTGAGTTTTATGAGCACAAAATTATAATAGGCAGATGTGGTATGCCTCATTCTGTTTTTTTTTTTTTTTTTTTTTTTTTTTTGCATCCCCTTGTTGAGGATGTGTGTGTGTGGTTTTTGCGCGGCATCTTCAACTTTTACTTTTTGAGGGTTTTTGCTTAGAGTTTCAGCCTTTGGACAGTTGAAGAATCCAGAATGCAAAGATAAATCTCATTATTATGTCTTCCGTTTACTTTTGAGCACAAAACTCATGGCAACACCATCTTGACAGCAGTTTTTTCCAAGCTCCTCTGCTCCCCTGCTCCTCCTGCTTTTAGTACTTGCAAGCGCCATTGACTTCCACCGGTTTGGATACCCATCTCCGGAGACAAGTTGCCAGATTCCGGTGCGATATCTAAGGACTCACTCGCTAACGGGAGAAAAAGAATCCCGGAAAAAAGGGCCTCGACTAAGAGATACTTATTGGTCCTCAAAGAAAAGGACTTCAAATCGTTCTAATCGAACCTTTTCCATTCAATGGCATTTAATTATTCAACAAAAGCAACAAAGTGAAGCATTAATGTATCAATTCGTACTTAAAAAGGTTGCCTTTACTTAAATTGTTGGCTCTTAGGTAGCTTTTAAATTAAATACTAATCCAAAATAAAAATGCGTAGTGGAAATAATTAATAGCTTTAAAAGAGAGAGAGAGATTAGTTTGCGTTGAAACACCAAAGAAAATACGCACATTTGCACTGTGGTGTTGCTTGAACAAAAACGGAGGCCAAAAATATTTTTGAACGTAGGCGTAGGGGGCACCATTCCACCTTTTAACTAAAAAATTGAATAAATATGATTAATTGTTATTACCCAAAAAGAATTTCGGTCGGGGGACAAGACTCCAAAATGATTTATGTGGATGAGGGAACCCAAAAAAAAAAAAAAAAAAAAAAAAAACAAAACAGCAGAGGCGAATGAAAACCTTTTGTTTTTTTTTTTTGAATATTCATTCTTAAATTTTCCACTGTTGTGGTCTTCAGCTTGATTTCACAAAATTTCAGATTGATGCATTTTCACGCTAATCGCGGAAGCAGTGTGTGTGTGTGTGTTAGTGTGGTGTGTGTGTGTGTGTGTATAGGTGAAAATTCCACTTCCACTTTGCAGCTAAATCTGATTAAATTATGTATGGTTTTATGGCGCGAAATGACAATGCAAAACATGCTTAAATTTATTTTATTAGCCCAGGTGTATATAAATACAAATCTTTTTCGCAAAAATTCCGCCTGACCACAAACGGTTATAGAGGAAACCCTATCAAAATCGGATTACCAACCAAATCAGAGGACGCGTTCAATGACCTTTTTTGTGACCGCAAAAAGAATCAGGAAAAAAACAAAAAAAAAACAAAAAACCCTTCATATTCCGTTCGGTGGGTGCAAATTTCCATGAATTTGGGATTCTATCATCGTTTTATCGGTTGGTTCGGTGGCAAATGAAATTTCCTACAGCTTCTGGTTTCAGAGCCACTCACACTCACACAAAACACTCACACACATTCATACGAGTCGGTATTTTGTCATTCACATTTCCATTTACTATTTCCTGTCAATTCTTTTTCTTAGGCACTGGATGTCTCGAGCTCTTACGTACTATATATCCTTTCGCCTTCCTTCGAAATATTGTGACAGTTTGCAATAAACGCACGGCACGGAATCTCTTCTTCTTCTTCTTCTACTACTACTACTACTACATCTTTAGGTGCTTCTTCTTCTTCTTCTTCTTCTAACCAGCACCTGCCCAAGTTGCTCGTCCCACTTTTTTACGACCATAAAAAGAAAGTGAATGCACCGGAACAGGAGCTTGGATAAATTTATACAGCACATTTCACGCGATCAACACATAAATATTATTATATTTTATGCGGCCAAACACGAATCTCTTTCTCTTTCTCTTTCAATATAAATATATATTATATATGATAGGTATATATATGTATTTATAAGGCAGGGAAAATGTGAAAATGTATATGGAATGTATAAATACAAATGGGAAGTATTTTTGGTAGGGTTCTTGTTATGATTCTCCCTTCGTTGGTCAAATCAAGCTGTTTTATTTGAGGTGCAATCCACAGCCGCCTTTGGGGTGATAAAAAAAAAAAAGATAGATTTTCACAACTTCTGCTGGGGTCACAAAACGATTTTAGCCAGTGTTGTTTGTTGTCATCAGCAGCAGCTTTTCACTTTCCCCGCAGCGTTTTCCGTCTTTCGGGGGGGTTTTCTTCTAACTGCTTCTTCGTTTTTCTGTCGCTTTGTGTCTAATAGTTATAACATTTTTCGCAGCTCGATGCTTATCTTAAGTCGCCTTGGGCCATAATCAACGCTCTGACATGAGGTGTTCGTTTAGAGGTCTTTTGCTTTTGCTATTGCCATTGCTATTGCTTTTGAAGGGTTGCCCCGAGTGGCAGATTGAAGGGCTTTTCGGAATTTCGAATTTGGTCCACCACAAAGCACCAAATGCGTATTGCATACATAAATTTCCAGACGAGGCGAGTCGAGTCGAGTTGAGTTGAGTTTAGTTGAGCTGTGAGTACGTTTTGCTCACGTTTGCTGCACAAAATAAATCTTTGACAGACAACCCAAACCAACCCAAACCAAACCAACCAACCAACCCACTGGGTTTTGTTTGTGGGCTGAAAGTATAGAAACTGCTGCCGTTTTTTTTGTTGCTCTCTAACTGACTGTCTGTGTATGTGTGTGAGTGTGTGTGTGTGTGTGTGTGTGTGAGTGTGTGGTGCGACTTGGAGGCATGTGGCAAACAAAATCTGTACAGAAATTCGCATTCTGTGAGGGATCCTCAGCCATCCTCCAATTTCACAGAAGGTCATCGAGTGATTCAAGCCGCGAATTCCAATTCGCTGTGAGTCATTTCGAATTCAGCTTAAAACCATATTTAACCTCAAAAACGAGCATGTAAATGGACAAATTTCATATGTATTTGCCAATTCGAAAGCATTTCCGCGCCATACAAAAAATAAGAAGCTTACAAAGGCAGCGAAACTGTTTTTAGGCACATTTTCCAAAGGCCTAAATAATTAACTGAATCATTTAATTAATATTAAATTATTCAGGATTCAGACATTTATATGGCAAACATCTCTGGCCATTAAAATATTACAAACTTTTTGGATTGTCTGTTGATTTTCAACTAATTAGCTGAAACATTCAATTCAAATTTAGTTTTAACACGCAATTGTCGAATTGGGCTTTTATGTTCCATTGTTTTTCCCGTTTTACCTGAGAGCCAATTTGCCTATTTTGAATGCCTAATGCCCACATTTTGGCATATAAATAATCAAATGCCAATCAAAACGTCAGGCAACGCCGCCGCCGAACATCTCAAAAATTATGGAGAAATCAATGCTAAATCGATATGTATAATTTATGTGTGTTAATGACAGCGTTATGCATTCCGCTCCCTTTTTGGCCAAAATCAAAATGACTTTGTGGCAATCAGAATTTTCGGCACCAAAATGCTAATGGTAGTTGGAGGGTGAACACAAAGCGATTAAGATAAATATTTGACGCCATTGAAAAAAAATAAATATATATATATATATGTACATATATAGAAGAAGAAAAAAAAGTGGCAGGCAGCGCAGTGAGTCTTCAATGAGCCGAGCAATGTGTCGCGACCTGCTTTCCGAATCGATAAGCGCAGGGGCAGAAAAAAAAAAAAAATCAAAATCAGGGGGAGGGGCAGAAAAAAAAAACACATCGAAATGCCATAAAATGTAGCTGAGCCAGAAGAAATACGATAGCATATATAAATTTATTTAAATGAGCGCTACGTGTAATGACGAAGGGAAGGGTCTCTTTTTTTTTTTCGCTGGTAAGTATATCCTGGTTGCCTGGTAGCTAATTTACCAATCGATGTCATTGATACCCCAGCGAAAGGAATTTCCAGGATGTGAAATTGCCGCCTCGAAAATAAGGAGCAGGAGGAGGAGCAAGAGGAAAAAAAAAACCTTGAATTGCCAAGCGCATTGCTTTAATTAAATTTCGCATGGATATTTGTTTGCTTGTTTGCTTACCGGACAGAAAGGACGACAGGACGACAGGACGACGGAAGGACTTGCTGCCACCTTTGCTGGCACCTTTGCTGCTACTTTTGCTACCTTGCCACCTTTGTTTCCCGTGCATTTTGGCTTTTCGAGCGTGCAAGTCGGTGGCAAATGAAAGAACGAAAGGCGGAAATGGCTGGCAGCACGTGCTTAAAATTGCACCAGAGGAGAATCCTTAATTCGACACAGATGAGCAGAAAAAAAGAAGAAGAAATCTGATCGATTTCAAATTGATATTTAAAGGTCAAATAGCTTTTTACGACGACCGGTGACTTTTCGTCGATGGGTTTAATTAAAAACAAATGTCCTTTCACTGTCGTTCTCAACTGTTATTTACCAAGCTCTTCTAGAGTCAAAGAAAACGCACGAAGGCTTGATACTTTTATTATTTTTACGGATATATGTTGTTTGATTTTATCTTTATATAGTATTGATATCAAAATAGCAAGTTGATAAGTGGAATTTACTTTTTCTTATCTTTTATTAAGAAAGCTCTTTAAAAAGGAAAGAAAATTTAATGTTATTTTTAAACATTTTCAATTCTTTTAATAAATAATTGTATTTATTGACTTATCCAATATATTTTATATATATATTTTTGTTTTGTATTTAAAACCTATAAAAATGAGGAGCATTTCTGGTGCTAAAATATCAAGTTGATAATCTAGTTTTCATACTTTTCATCAAAGGAGTTGACAAACCCTCTCCAGCTTATTGCACCGATTTAATCCCAGTGTATTTGGGGCTGCTTGGCTTGTGGGCGTGTCGGCCGTCTAGGATTGCTGCCTACATGTTCACACCTACGGGCGTGCTTAATTCTTTGTACTTATTCAACTGTACAGGGAACGGGTTTATTCGTTTCCCTGATTCCCATTCATTCATTCACGCCTCACTTTTCTTTTTTTTTTTATTTATTTATTTTTTTTTTTTTTTGCCACCGCCTCCTTCTTCGTTTGGTGATGTCGGTGATGTAATTAATGATGCTTGGCGTACAATTTTTTAAATTGAATTGCACCGGCAGCAGTAGGCGCCATATAGCCATATAACCAGTGCCATATAACCATTGCCATGGCTATAGCCGTATATATCCTTTGTAGCCAACTGTAGTTTGTTCGGCGGCCAAAGGCCTTGAAGTCAGTTGCCGGATGGCGGAATTCTGGCAAAAGTAGTTCGTGATGGTGTTGTTAATGCAACTGATTTTACGCTCTCGCTGATTTACTGCCACTGGGATTCAAAATCCGACTAGCAGTGACTACATTTTTGGGGCACCATAAGCTAAAACGTGAATTTTACATAAATAAAATAGGGTGAAAAAGCGTTTTTCAGCCATTAAAATATCCCAAAAACTTCATTAGAATTTAAACAAATTAAATCTTTATTCATTTAGTAATCACAATTAGGGAAACCCGAAAAACCAAAGCAAAGGTAATTCATTTATATGATTTTTATTTAATAACTCAATTTCATCAGATGTTGATCTTAATTTCCAGCAATAAAATATTCATACCCATCACCTGTACAATAAAGAAGTTAGATTAACGAATGAAAAGGGGCAGGCAGCGTTCTTTGGCCCCCCATAAAATATTCTTGAACATCATTAACAGCCAAATAAATTGAAGCATGTTTTTGTGGCCAATTTAAAATGAGTAAATTACATTTCGTTTTTTGAGCTTTTTACAATAACAGCCAGCGTTTTTCGTGCCCTTCAACTAGTCTATTATTCATTTTATTGTCTCTTTCCAGGTAAAGATTTTTGTTGTTGTCATTTCCCTAAAAGCTTTTCCACAAATCCTATCAAGGGCCAAAGCACAATTCATCCGGGACGTACGAAAGAACACCAGAACACCCGAATGGGATTCGAACTTTTCCGCATTCCGGATGAGCAGTGAGTAGCATTTGTGGTGCATATAAATAGCCCGAATGGTAAATGGTACTTGATAATTATCGCACGGAATGTAAACAGTCTGATTTGGGTTAGCATAGGATGCCTCCAATTGTAGTACATACTTAGTTCCCAATTTACTTACCCCCTTCCATGGTCACAAATTCAACTTTAGAACGAGAACTGGCTGCCTTCTGCTGCTTCTGTTCTCCATTTTGGTTTGCTCCTCTCGCTATTGGAGCCCAATTAAAATTCTAAAATGCTGTTTGCTGCTCGGGAATCTTGCACAACCCCAACCCCAACAACACTCACATTCACACACACACATTCACATCGCTGGCGATCTGAAAAGAAGGAATAATTTATGCATTTCATATATACTTTCCCTTGCGCTTGTTTTATTACCGCTCTGATTGTTATTTTTCGTTGGCTGCGCAACGCGCCACTTACAAAAAAAAAAAACAAGGGAAGAAATGGAGAAAAATTAAAAAAAAAAATATAGGCGTCTTTAGTCGACTTTTAGATATCCCTTAAGTCTATACTGCTGAACCATTTTGATGGGCGTGGCAAGTTTTTAAAACCACTGAGCACTAGATCAATCAGAAAAAAAGGTAGAAGAGCGCTTTGTTTAATTTATGATGTATTCTAGCTCTAAAACCTCAAGATCTCGAAGATCAAGTTTGATCCTGATCAAGAAATTGTAATACTTTTCAAAAAACATATTATACCCCTTAGCTACCCGATTAACGGGTATACAAATATAAGAATTTGACTTTCGCCTGTGTTCTCTGACTCAACGTTGCATTGTTTACGGCGTGTTCCGCTTCTTCGTGGCACCACTCGACTCCACTCCACTCCACTCCACTTGATGGTGGGTCAAATGAAGTGAACGGGTGCCACTGCAATGGGCAATGGGAGAATAAAGAGGGGATAGAGGGGGGAGGGGGGAGGAGGGGATGTGGATAGGAGTGGGGCTCCGGCACAATTGCGCTCATAATTGTTTATCTAAATTGACTGCAGACCTCACTTTAAGATGTACGAGTGTATATAGAGATATTGTGTATACATTTTCATGCACAACTCATGGCAACTCGATACGGTGCGATGTAAAAATAAATAGCACACACCCATGTTTGTTGATATTGTCGGTCGGTCGGTCGGTCGGTCGGTTGGGTATATCGATGCCCCACTGTGTTTGGTGCGGTGGACCCACAAGAGTCATCGCCCCGAGGAGTGCAAACAATGGAATTTAAAAGGTTGCATTTTGAGAACTTTGCATTAATTGTGCTCAATTTTGAATAATTGATAGTAATGTGGAAATTATTGTTCAATTAATTCAGTAACGATTAATGTGCTTCAGTAACTATTGAATGGCAAACAAATGCCCCACAGAATGTGTATTTTAAGGTAGTGTGTTGCGATTTAATAAAACATTTCTTGTATTAATCGGCGGTATTCATTTGCCATTTCGTTCTGGAGGAAAAATGCGCAAGTAATTATGTTACGTACTCTACTCGTACAATGGCGTAATAATTAGTCATATTTATCAAATATTTACTGCCAGCACAAGTTGTAATCGCGCTGTAAATGAGCAAAGTAATAGCCTACTTCTTGGCCACTGCCGACTGGTTTGTTTACGTTTCCGCCATTTTAGTTTTTCGTGGCCAGCGGCGTTTGAAGAAAAACTGCTCGTTTGTGGGGTCAAACACTCCAGCATAAAGTAGTTGGTGGGGAAATTGCATGCAGAGTGATTCTAAAACAATATTTAATAGCTTTAAATCTTTATTTAAAGGTATTTCATTTGAAAACCACTGGAGTTCCAAAAATATTACATTTTAAATTGGTTTAAAAATGTATTTCATTTTTACTTTCTCCTCAAAATTAAAAAAAAATAATTGCACATTTTTTTGTTCATCCTCTTCTAGTTGTTAGTTGAATAAAAAACATATTCCTTGCATAAATAATATGTGTGTGTGTCGACCGAGAGAAAAATCGGGACCTATTTGGAATTCACGTATTCAAGATTTCATGAAATTTATAGCATAAGCACTGTGGAATTCACAAACATCGGCTAAGAGTACTGTAAAATGTTCAACATTGCTTCCTTTTTGGCGCTGGCCAATGTATTTTCATTTTCATTTTCATTTGCATTTGGCCCTCTTGTTTTTAGCTTTTCGCCGCTGTTGTTATTGTTGTATTTGTTATTGTTGTTGTTTATAGTGTTGTTGTTGTTGTTGTCATCCGTCGCTCGTTTGGTGCGAGTGAAATGCAAAGCAAACAACAATTTGTAATTTCCGTTGTTTCCCAGCCAGCTTGGCCAGATGAGGCTATATAGTGGGTCTATATGGTGTTGGATAAAGTGTGAGGAGAGTGAAGGGAAGAAGGAAAGGGGGAGGGAGGGGGAGGGGGAGGGGAATAGAGAGCCGATGGGCGTGTTGGGGAAACTATTCCACGCTCTTTTAGCTGCAATTTTCTGCTTAAACTGGATGCAGATGAAAGAAGAAAAAAAAACGAATCGCACCAACCAACCAACCAAAAGCAACAACAACAAAGAGCAAACAACACAACAAAAATCTGTGCTGGCAAGTTTTCATGGCAAGTCCTTCTGCCATTCCATTCCATCGCATCAAATCGCATCCCATCGCCGTGGTCGTAACACGTCCTACGAATATCCATCGGTTCAAGTTTAAGCCAAAGTTATTCGGAATGCGTTTTCGGTGATTGCAGTAGCATTGCCCACATTGCCTCACAAAAAAAAAAAAAATGCTGGAAAAACCCATCGCTTTTCCCGCATCTTCTTAGGGAGTTGCAGTAATAATTAGAGCAAGATTTGCAAACATCAAGAAAGCATTTCTTCTCATCCATCTTCGCTTCTTGAGAATAGCAAATTTGACCGCCAGGTGAACTATATAGAATGGAATTGAAAATGTATTCGAAAATTCTAAGGCAAATATTTGGTGAAGGAGGAGTGAGGAGTACCCATCAAAATCGTAATTAGCAAACGGATCCTGGCACTTAAGTCAAATTAGTTGTGCAAACAAAAGGGGAGAATACTTGCCGAGGTTTCGACTTTGGTCTTGGGCATTATTGTCTAGATAAACACGATGCAGCAACTCCAAGGCAGCAACTCTGATGCCGCAATTCAGCAGATGCAGCAGATGCAGCATCGCAGTTGCAGTTGCAGTTGCATCGCCAGATAAATTAATAAAGATCATTTGGGGAAGGCGGCAGAATCGAGGGATTCGATGGGGGGAGAAGTGGATACATGCAAATGCTTTTAAGCTGCGTATTTACATTTCGATTTAGGCACAAAGGGCGCTTTTAACTGCAACGATATTTGCTCTAAACTCAATCGAACATGCCTGATTTCTCAGCAAGTATTGCCTCGAATTGGGATCTAAATTAATTAGGTTGTTCTTCAATCCATTTGAATTTAACTCCATGCGAAACGAATTTAAGGGAGAAATATTATTGCATTTGCAATCAGAAAAAACATATATATATCGATGTGAATTGGGAACGCTTTATCAAAGTCACTGAACCGGATTCTGCAGAGCTCCGTAGAATGTTTTTCCACAAATTGAAAATTCGAAATCGCAATTGCGGATCGTTGGAAATCTCCCTCGTTTTCGTTTTCGTTTCTCTTTTCTCTTTTTTTTTTTATTTTTTTCAAACCAAACCTTTATATATATTTTGGTCATATTTTCTGGGATAAAATGGCAGTTATTTGTTCTCTTTGGGACTTGTTCAAGGTATAAAGTCCCGTATGTATTTGTTTATATATATATATAAGTATTTCTGGTTGTGTTTGTGTTAATGTTTAAGCTTTTGTTTGTATTCGTAAATCGGTTACGTGCACGTGTGTGTCTGTGTTTGTGTGTGTGTGTGCGAGGCAGGGAACAACTGAGCCGGCACTAAAAGCCAAACAAAACATGAAAACGGTTCAAAGATACCGACTATTTGTAGTTGCATTTGTATCGGAATCTATATTGGGAGCTCCAGATATCTGCACTTCTTGGTATCCAATGGTATTCTCCCCTCTCCCTCCCCCTCCCCCCTCCCCCGCCCACAAACTCCCCTTCTTCCCCTGCAACTTGCCTGTTCACTTGGCCGTCGTTGTCGTTATCGCTGTCTGAGCACAGTGAGCACACAATGTAAAACGCAAATATTAACACGGCTAACCGATATGGCATATATACAGATACAGATACAGATATATATACAGAGAGAGAGAGAGAGAGAGAGAGAGAGGGAGAGAGTGGCAAGTGGGGAAGTGGCAAGTGGGGAAGTGGCAAGTGGGGAAGTGGCAACGGGAAGTGGAAAGTGGTAAGAGGCAAAAGGCAAAGGCACGCACCACAACACACACACACAAAACACACATACGCACACACACACACACCACGCTCACAAACACTCGAATACGGATACGCTCGGAAAAACGTTTTCGCTTTATATTTTTATCGGTTTGGGAGATTCGAAATATCAATACTATTGAAAAACATTGTATTTCGGGGAGGAGGTTATGCTCTTCTGTATTGAATAATATTGAAAACATTGTATTCAAGCAAAAGTTTCTCGAGAGTAGAAACCTCAAATAGACAAGCAAATGCTGTATTTAAGTAGAAGTTTCTTATTTTAAGAACCCTTTAGCCTTAAATGAAATCCTAATAAATAGGTAATACTTTATTTAGAAGATTAGGAATTTGTTAAAATGTACTCCATTTAAATGTTTGGATATTTTATAATATTTTTACTTCTATTGGACTCAAGCCACGCATAAAAACCAATTATAATTTCCCGATTAAACCAGTTGACAAACAGAGATCAGACAACAGTGGAAGCAAACTGAAAAATGCAATTCAAGACGCTTAAAAAATTCAAGATAAGCGGTCACTTGAGGGGCGAACACTCTTATCCGAACTCCAACTTTATCGCTGGCAGTTCGGAAGAAAAAGAAACGAAATCAGAGCATATCTGATTTCGGGAGCAAACAGAGTTGGTTA